CAAGTTAATTTCACAACAGTTGGGCCAACAACTGCTGCTAGAGAACAAACCACCTATGGGACAACTGTGGAAACGGAAACAACTCAAGTTAATTTCACAACAGTTGGGCCAACAACTGATTCAGGAACAAAAACTGATAATGCAACAACAGGAGAAACTGAGACAACTCAAGTTAATGGCCCAACGGTCGGGCCAACAACTGCTGTGGGAACTCAGACCACTTCTGGAACAACCGTAGATACTGAGACAACTCAACTTAATTTCACAACAGTAGGGCTAACAACTGCTTCAGTTACACAGACAGATAATGCAAAAACTGCAGAAGCCGAGACAACACAAATTAGTTTCTCAACAGTCGGGCCGACAACTGCTCCAGGAACACAGACAGATAATGTAACAACAGTGGAAACGAAGACAACAGTAGACAGTTTAATCACAGCAAGAATTACAACTTCTTTAGGAACACAGACAGATCCTACAACAACTGCAGAAGCTACAGCAGGATTAACGACTGCTGCTGGAACACAAACGGCTGATGCAACAACGTCAAAAGCTGGTACAACTACCATTGAAGCAACAACAGCGGTGCCGACAACTGCAGTTGGCACGCAGGCAACTGATGCAACAGCAACACCACCAGTAGGAGCGAAAACAACCCAAGTTGATGCTACCGCAACAGGATCGGTAACTAATGCAAGAACTCCAACAGGTGGCACCACGTACGCCGTACAGACTGATGCAACGACAGCAGGATCGACATCTGCGAGGGGAACACCAACTGACGACTCTGCGACCAAATACGGGACGACCTTGCTAGTGGATGCTACAACAGCCAAGTTGACAACTCCTGCAACCAGTCTTACTACAAAAGCCACTTCCAGGCCTCCTGTCTCTGCTGACAAGACCCTCCGCATGGAGATCATAGTTGATGCAGCTCAGGATGTTAACGACAAGACCTTTGTTGCCAAAATGGAAACTGATTTGGAGAAGCTTTATTTGGACGGCAAGCAGAATCTTAACCGGAAGCGACGGTCTCCAAGGGAAGCAACCTCGATGGTAGACCAGAGACAACTGCGGAATGCAGAACACATGCGATCAGCAAGGTATCGAAGGGCTACAGATCCTGTGGACGTTGTGGTAAGGATTCAGTCCACTGTCTGTCATATCCTCAAGTGTTCATGGTTTTAATGAGAATTTCAATCATCACTGATAGCCTGATGAAAGCTTCATTTTTAGTTCTAACAAACAATAAAAGAAATGGTAAAGCCCTTTCAGTACTTGTGTGAAGGAAACTGGTTATTTCTCAATGTCTCATAAGTACACTCTCTTGCACAGAAATCATGTCCATAAGTTCAGGTGTATGCACCGGTACTTGTAATCAGCTTACTAAACAACGCATCCCTTAAAAAAAATCATGTAATCAAGGCATTAGGACTGTTGTATCAATACAGGTGATTCACAATACAGTGCGCCACCAAGAGTTTGCCGCAGACGGATCACTTTTCAAGTTTACAGTCGACACGCTGCCACAATTAAGCGCACTTCGTACCAGTACTTAATTTTGGAAAATTTGATGGATGAAGACTTTCCCTGCACCACACAGAGACCATCATTTGGACTTCCTAACACCCCTTTGCAATAAGCAATTTCGAATTTTCAACCAAGATAAACGAATGTTTGGAAAAAATTTGTGTTTTCCGCACACAGTGCAGTTTGTGAATGAAGCTTTGTCTGTTTGTCCCATAATGCACTGCAAAAAGCCCTCTCCATGACAACCTCTTGGTGGCGCACTGCATTGTGAATCACCCATATTAACAATGTTTGAAGCTGATAATTAGACTTCTGCTTCCATCTACTGTATATCAGATAACCTACATTCAGAGGCAGACGGCAGATCCTGCCAATGTGGATGTCGAGTTTTACCTGTCTGAGAATGGCACGGTCAAGGAGCCCATTGCTGCAAGTCAGGTGTACTCATCGCTCAGTCTGGCAGCAATGAGTGCTGAGATGGGTGTTGAGGTGAGGATCATTGGCAGCGTACATGTATGTGTCTAGATTTCAAATTGGAGAGACGGTCAGTGAGGGACAGGTAATTGTCTGTTGCTGGCAGAGCAACCCAGAAGATGTCAACATTCAGCACTTGGTTTTGCAGTACATGTAGTTGGATGGATATTCAGACTGCAGCACCTTGCCAGTGTTCTATAATGGGCCTGATGGCCGATTTTGTGCGCTGTGCTGCGCTGCTTGCTCATTTCACAGGGTTTAACGGGGATCAGAAGGCTGTGGAAAATAGGCTTGGAGTTCAGGTGTACATGGTGCGAACAACTCTGAACAAGAGATGTTCTTGAGCTTTGAAGCTTTTCATGGTGGAGGCAGCAAGTTAGTTGTAGAGGTTTGCAGCAGTACCATGCAAGGATTTTTTTTTTAGTACATGTATGTGTGGTTCTGAAGGGAGCCTCTGCAGTCTCCTGACGACGGACAGAGCATACTGTCCGAAATGCTGAGTACTCTCCGGTTGTCTTCAGAACCATGCATGCTCATAAAAGAGATATCTTTGCACGGTGCTACCGTAGACCTCTACAACTACATGTAAGAAATGTTCTTTTAAATCTATTTAGAGAGCTTTGCAGTGCCACAGAATGTGCTGAGTTGCTGTTGCGCAGTGCTGGATCGTGGAGGATTCGGTAAAGTTCTCACCTGAAAACATTGGGGTAGAGGGCATTTTGAGTCACGTGTAGCAAGAAAGCCTGGAATTAACTTTCCTTTTTTTCTGCCAGGTAACATCACGGCCCAAACCCTTGGTCCCCCCAGACCTCCCTACGCCCGCCCCTGACCACCCGTACCCTGTCCCCGGAGTGCAGACCGACGATGTGCTGGAAGTGGTCCTGGTGGTGCCAGACACGGACTACAACCAGTCCGGCTTCAAGATGGACATCCGGAATCGGCTGGAGGAGTTGTACCTGGAGGGCAGCGGAGCTACCCGTCGTCGGAGAGAAAGCCCCCAAGGGAGGAGAAGAAATATCATCATGAAAAGTAAGGGGAAACAGTAATTTGTTGTTGGAGATGGTTGTTGCCAGTCAAGGCCTTCAGCAATCACTCATTGCGAGCACAGACTTCGTAAAAAAATCTCCATAATGCCCTTAATCAGCACACAGAGTTCAGGGAAGCCACCAGCAGCCATCTTACCATGCCACATACAAAGGTAAAACAAAGGTTCGTTCGCCATTGTCAACCAGATTTCGTTTTTGGCATCAGTGGTTACAATGGCAAGCAAGCCCACCACTGCCTTTGTATTCGGCACGGTAAAATGGCCGCCGATAGTTTTGGTTGGTACAAAGCCATTGCAAGTCCAGAAACCCTTGCAATTGCGAGCCACTGGGTATGTAGGGAGACTGGCATTGTTCACTGTTTATCAAATTACTTGTGACTTGAGAAAAGACTTGTGACTTGAACTTCACTACAACACTATCTGAAATCATAGGTTGCAGTGACGTACTGCTTCACAGTGAATGGATTTTGTTGAAACCTAGCATTAAGTTAGGTAAATCTATGGTCTCTCCGTGGTCAACAATCTTTCAATACAGTTGCACTGCATATTTTGTAGTGACGGTCATAAGTATTTCGCTCCCCCATTCATGACTGATCTGTTTAGAACTGATGTCGTTAAAGGTCTGCAAAAGTTAGGGCCGAGGAAGAGTGTGTGGTCAACTCCAGAAGCCAGCACAACTCTCGCTCTAAATCAGATCTTGACAGTGTTGTATTCAAGTCCATCACAAGCTCGTCAAATGAGTTGTGACAAAAGCATGCTGTTGTGACTGTTCTCCCAGTCAGTTGTGACTGGCCTTGTGAAGGGACTTGTGACAGGACTTCTGAAGGGACTTCTGAAGGGACTTGTGACTGGACTTGTGACTGGACTTCTGAAGGGACTTGTGACGGACTCTTATACATGTACAACACTGACTTTTGATACCCGTCAAGCTTTCCTCTTGTATGAAATCATGAACGCTTGTTAGTAGACTACCTTGAAACAGAGGGCTAGTAGAAATAAAATGATCAGACCAACACTGTGTCTGTCGTGCCTGTGAGACACTGGACTATGTTTGTGAAGCATATGTCTAGATATGGTGTGAAACCAAGTCTGGACTTGGCAGGTTTCAGTTGCCGTCTAGTCGGTTTGTTGCGCACTCTAAGGATTGATTTCTGTGGAGAAACCCCATTTTTGTCCCACTTTGGCCCTCGGTGTAATGCAGGTGCTGCTCACCAAGGAGAGGTCTTGACAATTAATAAACCAGGTCCGGAGAAGTGGCGATTTGTAAGGCGTCTGAGCACCCTGAAGACATCTGCAGCAGGCCACAGCCGACAAAGGCGCCAGTCAACAGACCCGGGCAACGTCATAGACATTGTGGTAAGTTCAAACTCTTCTGTTTAACTCTCAAGTCGAACTAGTAAAAAGCACCTGGACAGCTTTTGCCCTAAAAGGTCTGGACTGAAATGGCTCATTAACTATACAATTGTCGGTCCCTTGTACTTGTGTTATGCAGCTCTTCGTAATCCCTTCTTTATTTTCATCCCGACAGGAATACCGGGTCGTAAGGACCAACCAGGAAGTGACATTCTCGTTCTACGTCATCCGCAGGGACCAAGTCATACCGGGCTCGGAAGCCCTGGCCGTTTTTGCAAAATTCACGCTGCAGCGACTTTCGCTTACTCTAGGATTTGAGGTAATGCAGGAAAGAAAATGGCGTATCAGATCTTTTATTGGAAACACAACAACTTTGCATGGCGAATGTGATTCTTATATTCTGCAGGTCAGGTTTGGATTGTACTAAAGAGTTCCTGTAGAATCAAACATGGCTGTCGCCAGGATGTGATACTTTATCTTTTGGGTATCATAGTACCAAAAAAGCAAGATCTCGTGTCAGATTTGACCATTGACTAGTCTATTAAGCTTGGTTTCCTTATGGTCGTTTGTAACGCAGACGGTCCACAAGACGTCAAGACGCAGATGGTTGCGGAAGAGATGCTGTGCGACGTCATTCCACCCAAAAAAAATTAAACAAAATGACATGCGAGACTCGGAAAATTTTTGTAACTAATGCCTTTTTAGGTGGCAATGTAGCCTCTTGAAGCCAAAATGATACTCCAGTTTGATGTAGTTTGTTCATGGTCAGTTTTTTTTGTTGACGATTGGGGCTGCTTATTCCAGCAATAAGGAGAAAATGGACAAAATGAGTGGTACTAAGCAAAACGAGAGAAACATCGTACACTCGTCATGCCAGTGTGCGTGTTTGTATAGGCCTAATTGGCAACTTGGCGCAGACAGTCACTAAAGTTGAACCGGGCTCAACTTTGCCGATCCGTCTGGGGCTGGTTTGCGTTTTTGGCAACACTTCTGTTTGACATGTTTCCATATGTCTGCGTTGCGGTTTGCCTCTTGATTGCGTTGCTCTCTGCATTTCTCACATCGATATGGAAACCAGGCTTTACACAAGAATTATAGCAGGATATTGTCGTAGAGTCATACATTTTTATCTTTGGGCAGAGTTACTGGATGATTCAGCGTATGTAACATGTTTCTTAAATCAAGGAGAAAGGTATAACTACATGTAACATTAACCAATCAAAGAGGTGTATATGGTCATGAATATGTATGTAGTGTAATAAGAATGCTAATGTTGCAGGTACTAGAGCCTGGTGTGTTGCTCTTTTCGACGGGGCCAGATTACACCCTCTGGATTATTTTGATCTCTGTTCTGGGCGGAATCCTCCTCATCGCTTTGGCCATCTTCATCATCTACTGGATCCGCCTCTGCCAACGTAAGGCAGCGAAGACCAAAGTCATAGAAATGGTGAGTTGCTCGAGGTGTGGGGTTAGGATCCGGGCCTCATTTTGCTGAGGTGTTTTAACAAATGGCTGTGCTAAGCAAAACCAGCAGGGAACCAGTCAGGGACAGTAAGTACAGGACATGAATTTTTGGCCGGTAACTGTTTTCTACAAGTCATGCAGTCTCAATTCTCAAGTTTTACCAGTAAGCTGTTGCACAGGGGCACCTTTGTTCACACGACAGTACTTGTGATTTGACTTTCTGATTTGACATGTGTTTTGACTTGCCATTGGACAATGTGATTTGGTAGGTTTTTGTAGTTTGACCATGTTGACTAGTGGTTTGACATATTTGACACTCGTTCGACATGTCATTTGACTTGGGATCTGACTTGTCTTTTGATATGCATATTTGACTTGTCATCTGACTCCTCTGCGTCGATAGCACAGTAATGTAGGAGTTGATCACAGAAAAGGAGCATGTTTAGTGTCTTATAAAGAAGTACCGGTATATTGCTTTCAGAAAGTAACGACATCAACAGTTTGAGCATGGATACTTCCCTTGTCTTCTTTATCTGGGAACCTGGTTCAAATCCCACCCATTTTGCCATGCTGATCAGGTTTATAGGCACACTCTTGTCCCCACACTGCTGGTTATCAACCAAGGATAAGGCAGTTATTGTTTGTGAGACTTTTACAGCAACAGGGTTTCCATTTAAACAGCACCGTGGTTGCTTGAATGCTACCATCTGAAAAATGGCTCCTGGCTGGAATCTAATGGCATAGCTTTGAGGTTTTTGCCTGTCCGACCTTGGGAGTCAGGTTGGCAAAGTGTTTCTTTCCTCGCCTTCCACCTCTGGGGACCTGGGTTCGAATCCGGCTCGGTCCACGTGTGGATTAGCTTGTCAGTCCCTACCTGAGTCCGTGGGTTTGACCCTCAAACATTTATCCGCGGTTTTCCTCCCACATTTAAAACTGAACATTTCTTCATTGTCTTCTTCACTCATTATCATCCCGTAATTGGCGCTAAATGCGCTGTTGGATGATCAGATATAAAGAAATAAATTTGTGTTACCTAATTGACTGAATTGGTATCCTGACCTTTGCTCTTGCAGACCACCATGGAGAAAGCCACCGGCATGTCGACAGAGTTCGGCCGGCTACGGGTGGACATAGCAAGAGGGGAGGTGGTCGTGGAGGAGACCTCGCTGGACAAACGGCTGCCAGTCAAGAATCGGGCCAACGGTACCCTGCCTGACCGACAAAGGGAAAACGGAGCCGTCCAGTAAGTCTACTGTCTGCATTCAGGTTATCCTGTGTGTGCCAAAACTGTTGGGGTGCTGTGTGGCTGACTGAAGGCAGCCAACCGAGGGCACTTTTCTTGGCGCCAGTTGGAAAGTCTGAGCAACAACCATTTGTTGGCTGACAACTGGGCAGTTTTTCTCCCTGGTAAACTGTGTACAAAACACATCCTGGGTACCATGAAAAATCAACCAGTGGTTGGTAGAGGATTGTCCCTCAGGCTTTCCCAGTGATGAACACAAAACAAATGGCTTTCACAGCATAAAAACAAATTTTCAAATACATGCGCACAAAACCTTTTCAAATGTATGTGCACAGAAGATTTAAGCATACTGAGTTAGTGTAGTCTTGCGGTAACACTTGAGAAAAACGTGCCCTTGTTTGGCTCGGTTAACAATTAGACCAAAGTATCGAATGAGTATGAGTATTGTTTCTCGGTTATATTGGTCCACTTGTGTATCATGCTCAAGCATGCATTGATCCGACCCATAGTGGAGATGTGTACGTCCAAATCAAGTGGATGCGGCTCGCCGTAAGGCACTTTTCTGTGGGAAGTGGCTGGAGCCGCTAGCCAGCGGCTCACCGTCAACGCATACAGGTGTTGTTTTCAGCCACAGCCCGAACCTGCTGACTCAGCCTCGGAGTTAATTATGCATCAAGACACAGCAGCGACATTGAAAAGCATTCTTTGCACATATCCGCAGCTGTTTCGGTTTTTTTTTTTCCGAACTGGGTATTTATTGAAGTGACTCGCAATCTGTAATGTCCACAGGAAGGAATCCGCTGCGCAGAGGCAAGCACCAACCAAAAGACAAGATGCCAAGAAAGAAGACGGACAGAGTGACGCCTCGGATGGCTCCATGTCCGAACAGGTCGGAATGCAGTAAACAGTAGATTAAAAACATCTGAAATCCCATTGGTTGCTATGCACCTTCCTCATCATCTGATTGGCTCAATACACAGTACACATACTTCATTATTGACGTAGCTCTTATTGACGCACACTAGGATATTGAAATAAGGTCGGCTTCTTTGTCAACTTTTGGCTAACCAGTGCAAGTGAAAAGGCATTACAAAATGCGATAGTCTTGGGAGTGCTTGTATTTTTTGTATTGTAGGAGGAGCCCCTCTTCAGTCATGTGCAAGCCCCACCTGCCGCAGGGGGTGGCAGGCCGCTGCCCAAGCCGCCCCCAGTCCGGTTCCGGAACTCCGTCTATCCGGACGCCCACGCCCAACTGCCTCCGCTGAAGCCCCATCCGCTGGTAGCCGAGTACGGCAGCGATAGTGAAAGGGAGCGGGACCCGGCGGCCCTCATCATCCCGCAGGTAACGTCCAATCATGCTGATTTCAGAGACTGCTCGATTGCATTGGGTCCATGCGTTGACAGAAGAGGGTGCCGTGACACTGACAAGCTGGGTGGTCGAGTGGTTAAGACGTCTGCACTAGTAAGCAGGAGGTCGTGGGTTCGACCTCCAAGGGTTGTTTTTTTCACAAGCCTCGGGGGGCTACAGTGTTAAAATACACATCGGGCAGGGTAAAAAAAAAATCCCAAATTAAGGGTGCCACGATGTTTGTTAATGAACAAAAGGGGACGCTTTAATGTCAGCATGGACTCCGTGCTGAAGCACGAGAAAAGCTCTTGTAATTTACATTCACTTTGACTCCAAAAATGAGCACAAGAGGGCAGCATAACATTTGCTTTGACCTGAATAGCATCAACAATGAGCACACTATGTTTGCATTGATTCTATATACGGATAAATGCACACAAAGGTTGATCAGTTTTGAAGAGCAATGTGAAAACATTTTGTTTTGTTTTTCAGACATGGTACGGAGACCTCGAGAGGGGCACCCCGTACCAGCTGAGCTCTGACTATGAGAGGAGGAAGCAAAGGCCACCGGAGAAGAGACGGTCATTGAGGAAGGACAAGAAGCTGCAAGAGAAGCTGACCAGAGAGCTGCACGAGAGGCAAGACGGTGACAAAAAGGTGACTGCAACAAAGGTGTCAGTTTATACCCAAACGAGGTGGGGTAGGTGTCAGTTTATACTCCGAACGAGGCAGAGTGGGTGGCAGTTTAAACCCGAATGAGGCAGAGCGGGTGTCAGTTTATACCCCAAACGAGGCAGAGCGGGTGTCAGTTTATACCCGAACGAGGCAGAGTGGGTGTCAGTTTATACCCGGAACGAGGCAGAGTGGGTGTCAGTTTATACCCGAACGAGGCAGAGTGGGTGTCAGTTTAGACCCCAAACAAGGTGGAGTGGGAGATGGAATCCACCCTCCTCCTGGCTATCTCCCGCACACTGTCGCAGCGCATTGTTTTGTGGTAAAGCTTGAAATGTCAACTTTTTCAGGTTGCATCGTAATTTGAAACTAGCCAGATATTTACCTTGAAACCTGAAAGGAAGGTAAAAAAAAATTATTAAATAACGTAACCCCCTCTAATCCCATTAATTTGCAGAACAAAACAACTGTTTACAAAAAAAGGCAGTTGATCGATGTTTAAATTTGATTTTGCTTTATTTTGCCACACAAGGGCCGTTTTGAAGTGGTTTCAAATAATGTTTCACGTTGTCAAATGTTATTAACTGTTTCCCAACTTTTTTTCCCCTTGCACCAGTAGTTGTCACCCTTGCATATCACAGACTTTATCTGTGCACGAGTGTATAAGAGCTGCCTCTTTCATGCAGTGCCAATTTTTCCGAGAAAGTCGGCTAAAGCAGCAGCAGGCATGAGAGCCTGACTTATTAAAATGAACATAACAAAAAAACCTAGTGAGACTGATGCCGTTCTAGTCCTAGACCATGTAAGCCTGTGAAAGTCTTATCCTAAAAGGTCTTGGAAAGCACCGATTCCCCCTCACAGTCCTCAATTCCCCAATTCCAATATGATTTCTACATACACCCTGAGGGGTTATGGTTAGGCGTTTCTTACCGAGCATGTTAGTGGAGAACAGAATTTAATAATACCCAAAGCTCCACCGGATTAGGCTTTTTTTTTTGTTGGTTATTTTTTTGTCAGAAGAAGAAAGACCTCGAACAAGTCGCTGACCACGGAGACGCTAATCCCACGTCAAGGTAACTTGAGCGGAGTTGGGGAGACTCCATGCATGATAGATAATAAATTATCATAGAGACATTTACAATGGGCATCCTATCCTCCCAGAAATTGCGGAGGGTGCCTTCCCCGTTGTTATTACCCCTGCTCATTGGGCCTATGACACTTTCTAAATACCATCTCAGCATCCTGGGGAGTGTACAGCTCGATGCAGCCATTTCGGGACAAACACCCAGAGTAACCCAATTACCCCTAGGTGGGGAGAAGCAATGAGTGGCAAAGTGCTTTGCCCAAGGGCACATGCCCCATGACCCTAGGCTGGATTTGAACGCACAACCTGCGGCTTTCCTTGCTGACTACAAATCCAACGCTCCAATAACCACAAAGCCACAGCACTTCACTGAGGCATGTGTTGCACCCATTCCTAAACCTGCCGTACATATGCAGTTCAGCAAGTCACAGTGCCCTATAGAGGGTTTGCATGGCTGCCATCTTGCAGGCCAGTTCTTTTGTACCACAGGGTATGCACAAAGGAGGTTTCCCTGTGGAACAAACGAACTGCCCTGCAAGATGGCTACCACGCAAAGCCTTTATAGGCCAAAAAGGCATTTAACAAATGAATGCAACAGCAATGGCTTCTGCATCTGGTCAGACTGTAACTTTCATTAATTGGGTCTCACAGCACAGAGGAGTTGACAGACTCAGTAGGGCCGAGACAAGCTGAGTCAGTTAAAATCCACAGTGCCGATTGGCTGTATGCATGAGGTATGGCTGTTTGCCAAACACACGCCTACTGCTTTGGCGGGCGATCTCGGGGAAACCTTGTGCTCACGTAGAACTTTGACATTTTTGACGAGACTCTGTCGCACTATGATATCCCATGTGTATTTTCTGCTTCCATACGGAAAGTACATTTTCCTGAAACAGGATCACAAAGTGAGTGACTCTGTGTTTCATTTTGCCAAAGGAGCATCAAGAAGTCCCGGAGCGATCGTTGGAAATTGGACAACTTGCCGTCGACGGATATACCAAATAAGGTATTAATCTGAACAGAGGGAGACAGCCTTAATACCCGATCAGTGTTGAGAATGTCCAAATAAAAGTACTAAACATGCTGGTCACATCAAAGAGCACAAAAGAAAACTTTGGCAACTAGCCAAAATGGTGTGTTATGACTTGTTTTTCTGTCTTGAGTTTGATTTTCGATCGGTAGAAAAAAATCACACCAAAGGGAAGTTGGGGGGGGCGGGGAAAAGGCAGGGGGTGTTGCAGTGTTCTCGGTATTGGTCAGGAACGCAGGTAATTGGCATGTTTACACAGAGTCATTTCCTCTCTCCGTCTCTCGGGGACATTGATTTTTTTTCTTCCCCAAACACGAGAATCTTAATGATCAATGGATAACATTTCGTGCAAGGCACAGACTTGTAAGAACATGCTTCTTGCCACCAGCTGCCAGCAAGAAAAAGGTTGCCTTTTCCAAATGTCAAACTTTTCACTGCATGTAGAAAAAGACTGCTTTCTGGGGTAGTTCATGGAATTTTTCACTTGTTTCAAAATCTGCTCTTGACAAGTTCAAACTCGTTTACGTCCTCCTTAGATTATTAATGAGCACTCTCTCCAGAAAACACACTAACTGCCCATTGTTTACAAGGTGTAAAGGTGTTCCTTTTTATTGAGAGTATTGTTTTGGTTCGGCGAGCAAAATAAAATTGCCAGCCATGTTTACACCTCTTGCTGTTTAAGAAGCTCTATTCATTACTGGGACAGTCCTGTTTCATAAGGTTTCTAGCCCTTTGAGGTAGCTTTACTCTGGCAATAAAACCTCTGATAGTAATCTCCTTTTCTGGGTCTGGCAATGGCTTAGGAGGGACTTGCTTTTTTGCTGACTCAGAAAAGAGCTTGCCAACAGCACTACATCCTTGAAAGATCCACGCACCATTAAGGGTTTGTTCTTGTTTTCCCATCCAGTAGGTATCCTCCATTATAAAAGTGACCCTCCTGTAGGGGAAATGTCTCATGAGGTCACAGAAGATAGATCGTTAAAAAGCTGCGCCAGTCTTCTGCCAGTGATATTTGCCGTGAAAGTTGCAGCCCACTTCACTTTTCCTCTGCAATCGAGAGGGCGCGCGTCCTTTCTGCAGTTACGAATCCTTTAGGTAATGCTCAGTCAAAATACCAGAATACCACAAGACATCAAAGTGGCTTGCGCTGCCGCAACTGACTCAAGAGAAAGATCCCTCGGTCTCATTAAAAGGTCTGAGTGCAGTGCTCCCCATGGATGGATTTCTTAACGTTTCTCTTTCCAGTTGTGTGTGGTAAATTCACACTTGAGAATTTCTGTGAGTGGAATGTGACATAGGGAATTGTAGGGACGTGTGACTTGCGATCATGGAGTCAGGGGCTCGAATGCAGCTGATGGTAATGTGTCGTGTCCACGGGCTAGCCACTTTACTAAGACCTATCTCTCTGCGGCAAGGTTCGGTAAAAAGGTTTTTGGTAGCACCATATCTCTTTTTGAGGATGTGTGGTTCTGGAAGGAACCAGAGGGTACTCAATGTTTCAGACAGTCTGCTCTGCCTTTTATCAGGGGACCACTGAGTGAGTGCAGGTTGTTTGTAGTTATTCCATGCCAGGTGCCGGTCAAAATGGAGATCGGCAATTTTATAGCTCTATCAGATCAAGACAGGCATCTGTGTTTGACTCTTAAGATCAATCCGTCATATAAAATTTAGCTCCGTATTTATCGTCTCTTTGTTAGTTTTTAAAGTTTTGTTCACCTGTTTTCAAGTTGCTGACTGCTCGCTGTGATCGCTATTTATTCTGTCATCTTCGTTGGCGTGAATTTTCTTTGTTTTTTCTCGCAAACTCCCTCAATTAAGTGTGAAATTAAATGTCAGTTGTCAGGAGACGGCACAGTGCAGTTGTAGTGTCAGTTGTCTCCCGAGGCATTAATTAATCACCATCTCGAAGCAGGACGTCATTACCTTAGGATTTCCCCCGTGCATGTCTCTCCACAATGTCAGGTTGAAACTGGGAATTGTATATTGCAGGTGGCCCACAGGAATAAAGGGTCCTGTGGTGCCGCTTAAATTGACTGTATCAAGCATTGCCTTAGGTGAACGTCGCAGGTTTTCCTTGAAAAGTTTTATAAGGGAGATGTTTAAAAGCAGGTTTTTTTTTCTTTCCTGCCATGTTTAAAGTAGCGAGGAATTGGTTGAACTGACAGCAAAGAGTGTAGCTTGACTGTGTAGTGTCTGGTTATTATTATCCGAACCATCCCAAATTCATCAGAATCCGTTATCTCTTATGGGGGGATTTTGATGGACACGATCCAGGAGGCCAGAGGGGACCAAATGTTGATCATGACGGACTTGGTCCAGGGGGCCTGAAGCACTGCCAGGGGCATTCAGTGCATGTTGTCGTGGCAACAGTGCTGATGATGTCATCTAAGCCACGTGTAATAGGTCCATCAACAAAGACCCTCACGCAAGCCACACCTATCATAGGTTTGCAGAGTCAAGTCCCAACATTAATACAAGGCATGGCTAGTTTGATTGGACGGGTCCACACCTATGGATGTGGTCATTTGGCATGGTCAGTTGAAGTGTCCTGTGCTCAGCAGATAGGCTTTTGTGTATTACATGGAAGGTCGACATTGGACTGCTGGCAGATGTGACAGGTTCCCAATCAAATTGATCATTTTATGTCTCGTGCAGAATAAGCATTGATGCCAAGCCGAGTGGCACAGTTTTTGATAAAATGCGTTTGGGGAAGAATTTGTGGTGCCACAGAAACAGAAGTTGCTGAATCAACCATGCAGTCATTTCGTAGGAAACAAAAGCAGCAAGCGTTTGGAGGAAAAATACTTCGAGAAAAACACAAGCTGGCATATCAACTGATAAATAACTGGCTGTTATGAAGACATTGATTATTGGGTTGTTTTTCTCTTTTTGTTTGGTTTCATATTCCAGAAGAAGAAATCTAAGAAGAGAAAGGTCTCCAAGCACAAAGTTGACGTTGCACCTGTGGAAGACACCATTGCCTCGTCTGGTGCTCAGCCTTTGCAGACATCGGTAAGTGTCGCTTGTGTTTTTGATCTCTCCATCAGCTCTTCAGGAAGGTTGTTATCGGATTTGTAACTCGATCTCTAGCCTATCCCGTGGGGGGGTGGGGGAATTATTTCTTGTGATGGAAGGTAGAACAAAAAGAAAAGCTTGCCTTGAAAGCCCGGGGTCGTTGATTTGATGTTAAAGACTTGTTCGGTGATTAAAATCATCGCCTTTTTTTGCTTCTAATAGCTTGAGGTAAAAGAGGTAAAAAGCTACCTGCTTGAGAATATTTTGCCTGGCCTCAGGATTTTTCTCCCCGACAATTAGATGATTGCTTGTTCATTGAAAGAAATATAAGAATCGATTTTTCAAATGACTTTTCTCACCATTCTCTTAATGCTTCGTTTCTGTAATTGCTTCATTGTTCATTTCAATCAGAGAGTCAAAATTACTCGTAGAAAATGCAAGCCATTACCTTGATAACAAAAATTAAGTTTTTTGGGAGCTTCAGCGTTTGGCCCCCTCGTTGGTGTCTTAATTCACTTTGCTTCAAATACGTCTCTCCCTGCTAAGCACATTTTTACCTTGTTATCTCCTCTATTTTACAAACTGCAAAGTCTGGACGATATAAAATGGAAATTAACATATAACTATTTCCCTGGTTTCTGACAACGATGCTGTTTGCAGCTTTTGCCAAATGGCTGTTTTAAAAGTTGAGATTGAATGACCATCTTGTATAGCCCCTCCCTCCAAAACCGAGACAACTTGCAGTCAGAAATTGGTCTGAGAGCCCCTCGAATAGATCCATAAAGCCCATGAACACTTCCGCGGAGTAATTGACAACTAGCCAAGAGGAAATGGATATCGTTCCAGGAATTGCAATTGAATTACCGAAGCTACGCTAGCTGCAGTGCAAATTTTTGGTTCCCAAAGGGATTTTTGGGAGCAAATTCAGTGCTTGTGAGTAGTTGGATCAGAGCAAATGTGCCAGCATGTTGAAACTGGATAATTTTTGAAAATGCCGAGTTGTACCAATCCTCGCAAGTGGATTACCCACATTCTCCCGAAACACAGTATAAAAAAAATAAGGGGGGAAAAATGCCCCTTTCTTATTCGGCTCAAGTCTGGCAAAAAGCCAACTGTAATCCAGTAACTCTGTGTAGGTGCATTGCATGGCTCTTGGTTAGAGCCCTACAACAGTAAATTCGGTTGACGAGAGATGGAGGGAGGGATTATTAGCGCGTCTGTTGGTAGTGCCACTCGGCGATGGACTGTTCCTAGAGGGTTGCCAAACTCTAGCTGTGTAAACTACACTTGTATAATTTCAATTATCTATAATATTTAATAATAATATGAATTTAGTAAGAGGACAATGGCATGGTAATTTTTCAATAGGGCAAATAATAATAATTTATTGATTTAGCGTCGTACATTAAAGATCTCAAACTGCTTTACAATTCAATTCAATTCAACTTTATTATCCCTGATGGAAAATTCCATTTGGCTATTTTGTGAGATAAATATCATAATTAAAAATCACACCATTGATAAAAAAAATTATTTAAATATTTCTGACAAAAATCACACCTGAAAACACAGACAAGTGTGTATTTGCCTGCAACTGGGGACCCCCTATTGTTCCTCTTTTGTTTGTACTTGAACTTTTGTAGAAGACCACCCATATGTTTTGTACACAGTTGTCAATCGGGGACCCTCTGTCAATCGGGGACCCTCTGTCAATCGGGGACCTTATTGTCCTCTATTGTTCAGGGTCCCCAACTGAATGCAGAAACAAACTGAAAAACACAAATGGCATGAATAAATCCAAGAGCAATATCACACACATAAAAAAAAGCAATACAATTGCTCGTAAAAGATACAATAAAACTTACATTTACATGTACATCAGTCATCGTCCACACTGCACGTTAAAAATCTGGACGGCTGAAGGGATGAATGTTTCGAGGAAAGGGTGGCTCGAATTCTCCGCTGAATCACAAACGTGTAAATAAAAACCAAATGACAATTGATTAATATAAACATTAAACATTAAGAGTAATACCGTACAAAAGTGAATATCTTAAATGTAATTCAGTTTTATTTTATTTCATTGTGGTGATTTGTTTTTGTCAGCGTACAAAACTAATATAGCTGACTCTTGCTATAGACTAATGCCAGTAAGTTATTCCCTTTGTACACACACACTTCCTGGGTTATTGAATAACTGTTGTAGTTCAAGATGGGGTAGAATTGAAGTAGTTGAAACAGAAGTTGGAATTTGGAAGATGGAGTTTAGAAGATGGAGTCCGGAACTTGAGATGGAATTCAGAAGTTGAGGTGGAAGTCGGAAGTGGAGATGGAAGTTGGAGGGTTTTGCTGAAAATACCAAAAAGTGTAAACTATAAGCTAATGGAAATTGAAAGGTTTAGATTAAAATACAAAAGAGTAAACAACTAGTAATTAAGCCATAAGCAAAATAATAAAGAGGAGTAGGTAACAATTTCTTTCGATAACTTTTGTCATCAGATCTTAAAAGAGTTAAACAGTATTCCCCAGGGTGCAAAGCCATGTATAATCGAATATCGTCGCATATCATGTCTTAAACGTTCAAACACATTCGGCAAATTTATTCGTCAGCTACTGAGGCTCGTGCATATTGTTCTCCATGTATGTGGACATTCCTGGTAAACATTCTTATTTGTCGTATGTTCCATCTGTTCCATATGTTCCATGAAAACAAAAATGCCATCAGTGGCAAAAAAATGTCGGCGTGCCATCGTATAGAGTGTCATAGCACGGGCTGAATGAAGTGATATTGTGAGCTGTGTGATTGATGATAGTGCTTTCCGGTGGGATTGGATTTCCAGTTGGGCTTTTGAAATGCAGCTGAATGTCTCGGTGCTGTAGCATGACCACTGCAGCTCTCTGGGAGGAAGTTTGGAGAAATGGAAGAAAAAGGAATTTTGTGATTATACACTTAGCTTATTTGATTGGCCTTTGGTTGGTCTTTAAACTCACCTCAAATCCAGAAGCCTTCAGTTCTTGATCCAAATTTTGTCTTGAGGGGAGCAATTCATTAAATTTTAGAGTATTAACAGGGTTTCCACGCTTATGGAAAATCGTGGAGGAAAAAAGTTGCCCTGGAAAGTCATGGAATATTGGGAAAAACCATGGAGTCGTGGAATCATGTTGTAAGAAGGAAAAAAGGCATGGAAAAGTCATGGAAATCGCGATCATACAAGGGTTCATTTTATTGGCCACGTTTGATGTGATAACGGAATAATGGTAAATTTACAGGTGATTCTTATGAGTGTGCAGTGGTGGTTATGGCAGTCCTCTGGTTCGTAAAACCAAATAGCTTTTCTAGTTTTAAATTTCACGGACAATGTCATATTTTAGTCCTGGAAAGGTCATGGAATTTGGTTTTCCGATTTCTGAGGGAACCCTGATTAAATTGTTCCATGATCGGTGTGCTTCAGGTTTGACCCCTCAACTGACAAATCTCTTTTCGTTTTTTTATTACTGCTTGGATTTTATCCTTGAATGCCGTGAAGGCCGGTACGACCTTTGACACCACAAGCGGCAACCTGGGTCGCACGGCACAGGACGTGAGAGCGGAGATGGCCATGTTGCTCGGTAGCCAGCCCCCAGTAGACAACCAGAAATATGGGTACCGTCCAACCGATCCAACTCAGTACCATAAGGTCAGGCTCTGGTAGTGCTTGCTATTGTTGGCTTGGTCTCAGTCTCGGTCTGTCTTGGTCTGGGTCAGGGTCTCAGCCTCAGTCTTAGTCTCGTTTCTGTGCTTCTTTACTTTCTGTCTCAGCTCTTTTCCATCCTGATTCTTCCCATTCTGAACTAAGAGACTCTTCATCATTTCTTCATTCAAATTCCCCTTTCCCGCTTTTGTCCCCATGCTAATTTTGTGCATTCAAATGCCGTCACAAAATACCACACCGATTACCTCAGGTGCTTGTGTGGTACATGTACTTGACCCCAGCTTTGCACGTATGCCCCACACTGCAGCTGACCCCAGAGGAGCTTCTGCTAGAGCAACAACAGCAGCAGCAGCGAGACCTGGAGATCAAGACGCGCTGGGCGATGGAGCGGAACCGCCTCTCCCGCATGCTGGATGATGCCTTCAGTCTCAAGATGTCGTCCCTCCAGTATCCTGTCTCCCCGGGCCCGCCCATCCCTGCCTACCAGCCGGGGGTGGATGGACCGAACCAGGACGCATACTCACAGCCCGAAGACTTGGGTTCACGGCCGACAACTTCCGGCTTTTCCTCGCATGACTACTTAACTAGTACTGGCCTCCCGGCTACCGCTAACCCCTTTAGCGCACTGCCTGGTTCCACAGACCGGCTGTCTTTCAGGAATCCCCCTCCTCTGAGGCATGGTTATGGGCATTCATTACCAACCCCCCAAGGACACGCCCCGGCCCCCCAAGCATTCCCCTACAGCAGCCTGAGAGGGTCTTCAGAACTTCCGAGGTACACCGTTCAGCCGGTGTACCACACCAGCCCATCCCTGTACGCACACCTGTCACCCAGGGGAATCGACTCCAGGGGGCGCTACGGGCTCTACAGGGAGAGTCTGTCTGATGGGCAGAGGCACAGCTCCAGAAGGCACAAGCACAGGGACGAGAATACTAACCCCGTTGGAGGGGACAGGGCGGAAGCCAGGACCTCATCAACACCTCGCGCCAGCCGGGAGGAGGAACTGAAGGTGCTGAGACAGCAGAATGACGCCATGCAGAAGCAGCTGGCGGAACAGAGGAGAGACTTGGAGCAAGTGCTGGCCGCAGTTGGCCAACCTCAGACTGAGATAGTCTAGGACCCTGCTTCCTTCTTGTGGAGCTGGTCCAGGCTAGTCGTCTTTCCATCACTAGATGGAATCATTCTGTCCTCTGCGCCCAACCTTGCTTGGGTGCCCCTCCAATCAAATTTTGCATATGGAACAATGGCCACTGCGTAGAGCAGCCAATTAAATCACAGAAGCCATCTGGCTGCTAAGCATTGAAGTTGGGATAGCTCATAACTGCCTGCTAAGTTAAAGCAGGTTACCAGCCACAGTGCTATAAAATGTGCATTGCCTGCAATAGGTTCTCGGTCAGTTTGTGCTAAGCAGACAAATTTTCCAAACAACAATTACTTCGTAGCAGCCCAATGAAAGGTAGCCCAGGTCTTCAGTCTGCTTTGCGGTCTTGCAGCAAGTTGTCCAAAACAGGATGAAATTGCCACCATAGCCCGGTTTGGGTGCCAGACTTCATGACATCTTTCATAATGTAGTGCAGCCAGGGAGTCTGCCTGGGCTATTACTCAACGCTGATTGGTTAAAAAAATGCATGGGTGTAATACCGAATCTGAAAGACTTTTTTTGTTTCATTGTCTTGTACATGCATCATGCACCGACATCGTGTGTGTGCCTAACCACATTTGAGACCTCAGGACTGCTAGGGAAGTACCATCTTAAGGAACACTTTTGATTTTCCGTCAACTTCATCTCATAAATTACCACCTCGATTGTGGCTTTCCCCCCACACCGTCCCCCACGTGTGAAAGGCTGACTCACTGCCTTTGCTAAAAGTGTAGATTTCGTACTATTTCAAATATTTGTTGAATCTAAGAGTTTTAATTGATTTTTACCAGTTCCTACACAGTGCTGGACGTCCTAAAGACTTGCCAAATGGTTGACATTTATACAGTGTATTTATTCTTTGTACAGCAGAGTGGTGTGCTTTTTCCTTGTTTGACAACTCCATTACCTTACTTTTTAAATATAAATTTATAAAACTGATTTTTATCGATTATTCAAAATGAATCTTTAATTGTTCGAAAAGAATCTTGAATTCTTGCCAGTTGTCTAATTCCATGAACCAGATTTGATGAAAGATTTGCGTTTGTGCTGTGTGTTCTGGCCTTAAGATATGTATATGTTCATAGATATATATTTATTGGCCACGTTGGCTAGCATTTAAAAACTGTGATTTGAATGCTGGACCGAATGGCTTGAGGGCGGTAGACGAAATTTATGGACAAAAGATATATATCCGGGAACGTATTTATCGTACAAATTTGCCCATTTCTTTTTCATTTCATGTGCCGTGCGTTGTCTGTTTATATGTAGGAAAAGGCTACGTCCACATTACTTGGCTACGGCTGGAAATGATACGTGAGCCTGTGGGAAATGCATGAAGCCTCTTGCCAGCGACTTCAATAGAATCATGCGTTATGTCTAGCCGCAGTCAAGTAATTCGAACACAGTCTCACTCTGTTTATGGGCATTTATACATGTACATGTATTTAGTCACCGATTTACTGTGTTTGATGTTTTTCTTTGTAGTACACGTGTTTGAAAGGTAATAAGGCTAGCGCAGTTCCTGTTTTGTGCTGATTTTTGTTTTCACTTTTTGTGCGTCTGGAGAGCGTTTTTTTTTCTTCAACTAAATTGACTAGTTGCTTTTGACTAGGTCGACTCCATTTTAGAAAATCTGTATCATCTACAAAGTCTGTGTGTTTGGGTCATTTGTTCACATTCACGAAATGTCTCAAGCTTTTTTTACTTTGTGTCTCATCGTATAAGACAAAAATTCCGGTACATGTTTATATGTTATCGATTGCTGCCATCTCTCTGTGCGCCTTTAATTTGTTCTACGTGCGTTTGGATTGACGCTGTCATGTATACCGTTTTTATGGTAAATTTTGCATAATATTTATTGTTTTGTTGGGTTTTCACTTTTGCAAGCTGTATTTTTTGCTAAATCAAAAAGTAATTATGATGTGCAAGCTTTTTTGTCATTTGCATATCTGTATGCATTTGCAGGTTTTTTTTTACGGCTGTATATTATCGGCGGGGACTTTCTAATTGCCTTCGCGGACAAAGCACACTAAAAAAAAACGTGTCAGTGGAAAAAAGGCCCTCTCGTAGGTTGACTGAAGCTTCACTGCACGTAGGCCTATTTTTTGCAGTGACAAAGTTTAATTTGATTGAACAGTCACGGTTCGCCTTTTGTATACATTCCGTAGAGTACCTGAGATCATTGCAATTCCTTCCTCCTCGAGTATTTTTCTACCCTTTGCACCGCCTAGAATCACCCTGTCCGCTTCCGCCATTGCAGGCACTCTTGGTTTTAAAAGGGGCCTGCGTGTACTCGTACGCGGAATGCAGTCTTGCGTAAGTGCTCAGCATAGTAACGATGCGAGAGAGCATTCATGTGCCAGTGCAGCCTCGCTGTCGTTCCTGTCGGGCGATTCCGTGTACGCAGGGGAGGGGGGGCACTGCGGACGGATCAAAAGCAGTTAACCGCAGGGTGCACCCGATCCGACTACCCACCGCCATACTTTTAAGTGAGGCCTGGGCCGTTTCACAATACTCAACTTCGTCTCCGTCTCAGACTTCGTGTAGGAAACCAATCCCCGATTGTGGGCCTGAAGCGTTTAACTGAAATTGAAGTACGGTAATGTTTGGCTCTTTTGCACCTTACTTGATGTTTTGTGGCACTATCAGACTTACCATTGCGCTTACAACCTCAACGTCAGGAAGTAAAAAAAAAACAGTTGAAGCCTTAAGACGGAGCCCAAGTCGAGTATTGGGAAACGGCCCTGCACAGCAAAATAGCCTGCAAGAACTGTGATGCTGATATGTATTTTTTAATTAAAGCTCTTTTCTTGCCCTCTCTTTTGTCTGCAGATTATACCCCCCCCTCCCGGGGCGGGCCATTTCCCTCCATTGTATTTTTTTCCTGCGATCTCTGCCCACCTTACATTCCTTTGTTCTTCAACCATGCCTTTCATGCAGTCCCCTGTAGCCTTTGCCTCTTTATCCAGCCTGCAGCTTTCCTGACTTTACCTTTTGTCCTCTTGCATTCATCCATGCTTGGTTGATTCTCCTGATTTGTCCTGTCCACTTGTCATTTCGCCTTCGAGAAAGATTCTGCAAGGATCGAAGCGTCGGGCCCTCCGTATTTTGAGACTACTATATTTTCGCATGATGCAATACAGTTGGCAAACAATATAAGTGAGGCTAGTCAGCGTCACGAAAACTTGCAAGCAGAAGGCTACAACAAGCCTGGCTTATAAGTTGGCCTACTGTATTGCATCATACGATTATATATTAGCACCACAGAGCATGGTTAGCTGCACAGGCCTCACTTATAAGTAGCGGTGGGTAGTCGGATCGGGTGCAGATTCAGGAGTATATATTGATCACCAGATCGAGAGTGGAAAACTGCAAAGAATCTCTCACTGAATCCACTCCTGCATCGATGCTCATGTTTTTTTCAATGTATCAAAGGTCCAGTTCCATCACCGTCTATGTAGATTGGAATGTTAACATATTATGATGTAGTACTTACCATGTTTGTCTAATTGCTTGTATGAGATCAATAGTTACTTGAAACAAATTATGTAGAGTGGTGCTTGAGCCAAAAACAAAATCAGAACTTATATATTTTATCACCAAAACCATTCCGAAACCGTCTTTGCAAATTGTACTTCATAAATGTTTTTATACTAATGTATATTGCACTAATGCCAAAGCCTTCAGTCTAAAATTTAATAAAACTTGAGATTCACTTTTAGATCCACAGTTGTTTCTGTTTTTTTGTTTCTTTACCGTATATCTGTCCCCCTTTTAAAGCATTTTTTTTTATTTCTGGCTTTGTCCTCAGTATCTGGCTTCGCTTAAACATCCTGCGTTGCCCTAGAAATTTGGATTCAGAAATGTTTTCCTGTTGGAAAACCTCAAAAGAGAGAGAGAGAATTCAATTTGGGTTAATTGCTCGGAGATTTGGGACAAGGGGGCGGGAACGTTGCTCGTTTTTTCTCGACGATGATGTGGGCGAGGACATGTTGGCCCAACTGAGGTCCGGTTTGCGTCGACAGTACCGTCATTTTTTAAATGCCTGGCGGCCCTGTGGAATGTCAAACGAAAGTCTCGTTTACCCGTTTCATGCCCAAATGATTATATTCGACCGACGCAGCGGTCGACCGCAACCGCAATACAGGACACGTGAATTCCAAGGGATCGGCAGATTCCTTAAAGGCTCGCGTCATGCAGTCGAGAAAAACCACTTGGCTGGTGCGTGCGAGGACCGAAGCTGGTTGATGACGTGACTGTACACACCCGTCCTGCGGATGCGCTAGATTCGGACATGATCTAGCGTACTTTTCGCAATGACGGCAAAAATCGGTGACGTCGAAATTTGCACTGCGGATACTCGATGCGGGCTTTTTCCTCCCATAAGTCAGGTTCATACTTAGCGAACATAAACACCAATTTGTGACATCAGGTCAAATATTCCCACTACGAATTCGTAAAAGTTGCATACATTTCAATTCGAGCGATTTTTTTTTTTTGGTTGCAGTTAATCTTTCGTGACGTCAAATTCACTTAACTTTTATAATTCGTCCGAAGCACGAACCGCTCTTTTGCAAGTGCTAGTGGTATTTTCACTTGACGAGTGGCACTCCTGTTACTCTGCCATAAGCGAGCACATTTCGTAGGGGATCCGCAAGACCTCTGTGGCTACAGCTCACCGTGTCATTTTTTTCAGCAAACACACCGCAGAAACTGAGAAGCGCTTAGAAGCTCGAGCCACTGCACCGTAACAAAGTCTACATAGAGATTGAAGTGCCTATTTGTATTCTGTTTGTTGTTTTTAATTTACCACTCGAAAATTAGAGGCTTAACAAGGGAAGTCCTTGGGGAAGCCAAACAGGAAATATCTTGTTGGATCAATGCTTTGTCCAATGGCGGTGTTTCTGATTATAGTTAATTGCAGCGGAAGCGATCTGTATCCATCATGATTACGTGTAATCTCCATAGAATAAAAGAGTCGATGTGTTGTCCCGGGAACGTTTTAAAAACTCAAAGGGATGTGTGAGTAGAAAGTATTTGTTCGCCACAAATCTTGAAAGTGTAAAGAAAAAGAAAAGTAAAGAAAAAAATGTGTAAGAATTTCACCAGTGCATGGTGAACAGTGAAAGGCAAAAGAGATGTGCCACGCCTTAACCTCCCCCAAGGGGTGTGTCAGTGGTGGAATCACGCCATTGAAAGGAGGGTCAAACTCTTTGAAGGGAGTTCACACCGTTGAAGGGTAAATCACACCCTTGGAGAAGCCTCATACCCTTAATTGCAGGGGGCTCATGCCCTTGGAGGGTGTCACCTCTTTTTGAGAGGGCTGACGCCTTTTAGGGGGCTCACTCTTCAATGGGGGCTCATCATACCCTTCGTCGAGCGGAGAACTGACACCACTGGAGAACTCACACCCTCGGAGAACTCACACCCTCGGAGAACCCACACCCTCGGAGAACTCACACCCTCGGAGAACTCACACCCTCGGAGTGCTCACACCATTGGGGCGGACCCGTATGCCGCGTACAGTCGAGGTATAGTGGGCAATATTGCGAGTCTCCTTGGCTGAATGTATCAAAACAGGGTGTGCTTTTAAACCACTCTCCTCATCTGGCAGGCTTCAGGAAATACGATCCGAACCATCACCAGTACTTTTATTGAAGTGACGATCCCTGGTTATACTCGCACTTTTTGGTTCCCCAAACGCTGCGCGCTCCAATAATATTTACTTTGTACTCCGGACAAACTTTGAAGAGCCTCTCGTTACAAACACATATCCCCTCGCGAGATTACCTGCTTGAAATAACTCGGCGATTGACAGAATCGAATTGTGATGATGCCGTCTTCGGGCTTCGTGTCGCCTGAAAATTGCAGAGTCCGAACCGGCGGCACAGACTGATTCGAATCGAGTGGTGATCGATTTTTCCGAGGTAATGTTCAAGATGATTTTGTCTCAAAGATACTCACTGCCGCTTAGACCTCTCAACTTTAAGGAGCTACCTCAGTATTTCGAAACCGATCATTCGAGAGCAAAGCTTGTGTACCGCGTGCCAGTCGGCGTATGGCCGCGCTGATAGGCCCACGTATGTTCACTCCCACGCCTTTGTGAACCGCTTAGTTGTGAGTTAGCGCATGCGCACTCGATCACTTTACTGTGGATTTCGAGGTAAGCGACGCCAGACACCGCTCCGTCTCTTCTCTCTGCGGATGGAAACCATAATATTTATTTTCAACAAAATACAAATAGATAAAGTTTACAGAGATAACCTGATAACTTAACATCGATTAGACAACATTATACCACCGTGTTATATGAATCAAGTTTCACAAATTTGGAAACAAATTCTGAAAAGTGATTTTTTTTTAATTGCACCGTTAGATTTGAAAGCAAATGTGTCCATGGTCTTTCCCATTTTAAAAACCTCTTTTCCAGTTTATCTAAACAAATAAAATAAAGTGCCATGTGTATTAAGACCCGATAAAAACATCGGTAGTATATTTTCAAGTTATTGCGAATTGAATGTTTTGCACAAGAGTCAATTGTCCGTAGTAGTGCATGTACACGTGCGTTGACGGAGTATAACGTATATGTACATTACATGCACGTGCACATGTGCACACATAAATCATGGCCGACCATCAGTCGACAGAGAACCAAAGTTGATCAAACTAACGAAGGACAATTCGCAATAGCTTAAACATGGTATTCTTTTTCAAACACTCTTTCAATTACCAAGATATGCAGCATGTGTGGAAAAACTGGAGAACATTTTTTTTTATTTTAAAATACCCATTTTTACGTTTGGAAAACATCTTTCATTCTATTTTCTCCGAAATATCACTTATGATTAACAAGAAACACATCACCAAATGAAATCTGATGCCTGGTTATATTTCTCTGGTATAAATTAAGAAAATTTTTACACAATGCGGAAGATCTCTGCTGATGGATTTTGGTAGAGTCGTTTGCTGGCTGGCGTCGCCATTTTAACAAGCAACAGTCAGTGACATTGCCGAGTTTAAGCGCATGCGTACAAACTAAGTGAAAGGGGTGACGGGGTGAACACGTGGGCCAGGCCTCGCGCACGCGTATTGCTGTTCCCGAATGACTTCGGACGCACTTCATTTTGTGGGCATGCGCTTTTGGAATACCGAACTGGCTCAATGTATTACTAAAACAGCTCCGAGCATATAACAGGTCAAGCAGCATTCACCTGTAGGCGTGCCGCGATTGGACACGCTATGCAATTGGCCTTGGTTTGTCGAATTGTGATTGGCAGATGTGATCTCTGACTTGAAACCTTGAGTTCTCATTGGATGCATTTTACATGGTGGTTGGCCGTGGGTTGGAACTCTTGGATGCCGCACGCACCGGCCATTTCAGTACGCTAACTCAAGTTTTGCTTGTGCGACAGAAATGAATATCTCTTTCTAACTCATGCAACACAGGCTGAGTAAATTAAGCGTTAGCCCTCATCATCAGGAAATCGATCACCCTGTTTTATTTTTAAACCGCATCCTAGAATATGTACAGATAATCAGCCTATCGTGCGGAACGACATTTGAATTAAGGCAATAACATTTACAGATTTAAGCAAAATTATTGTTGTTTACACTGACTTAGAGAGATAAACAGGCAATGTGTTTGCTTCTGTAAGGATGTTCAAATATTGAAATTCACCAAAGAATTGTATAATAATATAATGAAACGAAAACTCTTCATTATGATACACAATGTACATGACATCTTATCTAGACTTTTATCGTCACATAATAAACCCTATTAACTTAGAGGCCATTTTGATCTTATTCCCAAAATCTGTTGTCGATTAGGATGGTAGGATGGCACCAGACTGTTTTATACTTCTTTGCGTTCAAAGCCTCCCTTTCAATAATTTTTGGAATCTGGCAAGGTACATGTGTTCAATCGTGAATTTGAAATCATCCATCAGAGTAGACAGGTGCAAATTGGTCATGAAATTTCATTTTACTGTGTCATTTTGTACTCTCATCATTAACAAATGAAGAGTTAACCTCGCTTTTAAATTCAATATGGCCGGCCTCGTGAATAACGTCTATTGAAGCCTGGGCTTGAATTCTCGTTGAGCGATAAAGACAAAGTACAATCATGTTTAAGACAAAAATGCCTGAAGTCACGGAGCTGCCTGTGGTGTTTGTGTCTAACATTGCCCAAACAACAAGCTAAATGCCTTTTAACGGATTGAGCTTGCCTTGAGGCGAAACGGGGCACCATCGGTCTTACTCTGTTACGCCTGGTTGGAAAGCATACTTCGCCGATTATGATCAGCGGTGGACTTGTCAGAACAATTTATCACTGCTTTGTTGCTATGAATAACATCATCACATAACACGGTGAAGAACTGTTGCTGTGAAACAAGACCAGGGCAATTACCTGCATTGATTAAACACGATGCGGTCTGTTGAAGGTCCTGTGCCCCAAATAACCTTGAAAATATCTGAGAGATATCATTGTGTACAAGTTATTTCAAAACGTAGGCCCTAAGTAACTGTACTCATCCAAAAGTCTGCTAAAATTTTGTTGTTTGTCAAAGGTTTTACTATTGTTTTACAAACCTACATTCAAATGACTACATGTATATGATTGGTCGTTTAGAACACAGTGTCTTGTATAAGATAACACTTGTCATTGAATTGCAGAAAGTAACAAATGGCCGGATCCAAACAGCGTTCAAAGATCTGATCTAAGCCAGTCTTCAGTATCAAAGCTGATGGCATTTTGTAAAGCAATTTCAGATATGGAAATGCTAATGAGGATGTTTCCATCCTCGGCGTGCAAAGGGTCGTTTCTAAGGGCTTCGACCGCACGTGCCGATGCGTCGGGGCCGCGCGTGGCACGGGGTAAAACTAAACACAATCACCGCCGAAGATGGATGGACGTCATTTGTTACTTTCCAACGAGAGCATGCTGGATTTTCACCCCTTCGCCTGCAGAGGTCGAGCCGGGAATTTTGAAATAATTGCCCTCTGAGAGAGACCGCTTTGGATTACTGACAGCTCTTCACGCCTTGGCGCCACCGATATTTTTGAAACCAATAAAATCCTCCACTTTGTCTCGATGAAAAGTCGGTTTGTTCTTGGCGCGAAATCAGAAAATATCGCAGACGTAGCAAAGCGATCGAAGCTAAATTCTACGTTTGCAGTTGGTCCCCTCTCCCAGCTCTTACCGTTGCAATTAACAACAATGCCGCGCAGGATAATTAAAATTACAGAAAATGTACAGGCGACATCTAAATGCAAATTGCTGTCATAGAGAGCCCTGAATAATCGTTTAAGGTTGGATTCGTTGAAAGCTCGTTTGACTGATTAACATGCATTACAGATTTCTTTCTGAATTATATACAGCCGCCGATAACAGAAGTTGTCTGTCAAATCCCACACCAGATGGCAAGACATACCTGCCCATTATCGAGGTCCCTTGTGACGGCCAGAAGACAACAGGGTCAGAAATTACCGACGTAACACGAAGTGGACACTGTTCGTGGAAACTTTACTCCCGAGAACGAGTGGTCTGTTGCTTTTGTCAGAGAGTGTAGTTTGTTGCTGACGTCAGATATTCCCCACGGACTTCGAGTAATAGATTCACCGTCATTGTTCTGTCCTTGTTCTTTTGTTTACAAACAGTGACCCGTCATTTTGTATGTGCGGCCAGAGATGGCAGAAGGTTCACCTGTTGTTGGGAAAATGGTTGTCTTAAATTTACATTTTGCTTCATCAATTTTTAAAATGTGAGCCTAGTTTTATTCAGTGTTTAGCGGAAATACATATTATTTGGTATCTTTATATTTCGGGTTTTTTTAACTTCGAATTTTTTCTTTTGGTTTGCACTCACGACCAGCCATAGCCTGTTAGCCTATCACTGGTCGGCAAAGACTTTTCTTTGGCTACTGACATAGCCAAAGAAAGGTCTATTGGCACACGGCCATCAATGTCATTTCCACAACCCCGATTCTGGCACAGTTTCACTCCAAACACGGCGGAGCGTTATTGGGCAGGTTCAAGAGAAGACCATATTGTGGACCACTGGCCGATCGTCCAGGGTAACCCAGGCATGCTCTAAATGTTATCGTGGATACTAGGCAAAATCGGCTAGTGGTTGACAGAATAGCCGTTGCTCTAATAAGCCTTTTGCGAATTAAATTTTGAGTAAACTCTTGTTCACTGGATGTAACAATTTGAATTCTCCAAACTAAGACACTGGTGCTATACCTTGTGATTTGGGACAAGCTTTTGCTTAGTTACAAGAAGAGACGCCTTAAACCAGGACACGCTTTTCAGTGGTTAAGAAGGGCACACTAGGAACTAGTCCATTCCAGAGATCATGGTCGCTATGCAAAAGCTTACCCCGAATAACGAGTTTATAGCAACAGCGTCTTCAGTCTGGGGAATTCAAATTGTTATGTTAATGTGCAATCAGAGAACTCAATGTACTGGATTGATTCAAATTTATCTCGCGAAAGGCCTATTGCCCCTTTAGTTACAGGTTTGCTTGGAAATTAGGCAAGTGTGCTCTAGGATGCAAATAGTCGCCCATTGTCGTGTTCAACCATCGTACGTGCGAGTGAAGTCACGGTACAAGTCAGCTGGTTGAAGTACAGTCCGGATTCGGTCGCGCTCAAACGCTTGTCCCCAACCCAGGGTTGAGGCCTTTGTCCGAGTTTAGATTTAAACTGTCTTCAGTTTTTGGTCAGGGACCCTATTCAGACATTCCCAGATTGTGCGCTTGATAGGTCCGTTTCGGTGGGATGGGAGAATGCTTCAAGTTATTCAGATGAAACTCTTCCATCTCGGGCCCCGAGTGGCTCGTCAAATGCCTTCGCGTCAGTCTGTCGCAGCAGCTGGCAAGCATTCGCCTCAAGTTCTTCTGAAAGTCCCGGTACTTGAGGGCGTAGATGATGGGATTCACGCAAATGTTGCACAGCACCAAGACAACTGTGACGCGATGGAAGGTACCCTGGAAGTCCAGGGAGCCGCCAAGATTGTAGACCAGATACTCCAGCTCGGTCGGGGTCCAGCAGGTTACGTACGTGGCGAAGACGATGCACAGCGTCTTGGCGACATTTCTCTTCGCCTCCGAGAACATGTCGATGCGGGCGGTGGCCGACCGTGGGGGGTTGGGCTTCGCAGTCCGGGCGGAGGCAGAGTCGCTTGCACTGGTGTCAGGCATCATCTCGGAGTTTGTGGAGCGGGCTACGTACAGTGCAGACACACGACGGCGCTGATTGAGTCTGGAAATGATACTGGCGTAAGCGAAAGTCATCAATACGAGCGGGATCAGGTATTCCAGAAAAAATGTCAGTATTCCGAAGAACCTTTGCATGGCTTCGCTGATCCACTGGGGCTCACACTTGCCGTCGACTGCGATGGAGACTACGGCCCAGTAAGTCTGATACACCAGGCTGAACAGCCACGCGATCAGCATGGAGACTTTAGCCTTCCTCCGGGTGACATGGTTGCGGTGGAACACGGAGTGGGCAATGCACACGTAGCGCTCCAGCGAGACCAGGAGGAGATTGAGTGTGGACGTCATGACCAGGACCCAGAGGAGGTACTCGGAGTACCAGACCTTGCAGGCGAAGCCCGCCAGGCTGCCGCTCAGGAGGGGCCGCCACCTGTCCAGTCGGATGGCCAGAAAGATGAAAGAACTGATCAGGTCAATGATGGACTGGTGAAAGATGAACAGACTGGTCAGCGGGCGGGTCATCTTGGGGTTGGCCAAGTAGACGACGATGACGGTACCGTTGCCCAGAACACCGAGCGTTCCGATGAGCACGTTGACGCCAGTAAGGGCAGCAGGGTCGGTGCTGTAGAGGCTGGTGCCAAGCACGTCCATACCGGGCGGATGTGGTACCGGCGGAGCGGTGGAGTTACGCAGGGTAGCGTGAGAGAGATCCTCCATAATCGCTAAAGGTAACGCGATTCCTTGTTACTGCTCAATCAGAAACTGTGGAGACAAATTTAAGGCCAGAGACAACCATAACGTAACTTTGTAATGGCAGTCGGATTCAGTTATTTTGCCCATTGAGTTAAGATGCTACGTATATTTTATTAAAGAAGTCGACTCTCTATCATGAATACGCATGAGGCTCGGAAGTGCGTTAACAGGCAGCCAGTAGGCCATTAACCTCACAATTTAAAACCCTGCGTGTGAAAGTTAGGCCGTTTCCTTACGCGCTTGCAGTGTTGTAACGAGTTGGTGACTCGAGTCGAGTCATTTTAACATTGTGACTCGAGTCGAGTCATAGGGTCAAGAAGCCGAGTCGAGTCACTTTGTGTAGTCGAGTCGAGATACTGTACCAAGCTCGAGTCAATTTGAGTCACAATTTTTTTTAACAAAGTACAATAAAAACACAACTACATGAAAGTCATTTTTGGGTATTTTTATTTTCATTTAGACATACAGAAAATAAATCAGGGTGACAGATATCCAGCCAACTAAAATTTGGCTTTTCATTTTTTGGAGACTCCTGTCTTATAAGCTTGTAGTCGAGTCTCCATGAGAGATTCGAGTCGAGTCATTTGGTCGCAGAGACTCGAATCGAGTCAAGTCGCCAAAAACTTGTGAGTCGAGTTATTACAACTCTACGGGCTTACGTGACCGGTCTCAGCTGCTGAGGTCAGTGCCTTTACGGTGTGAGTATTGTGGTTTGGAAGCCACACTCCGTTCTAACGACATTTAAATTGCTTAGGGGTGCCCGCTGCATGGGCCCCCATAACTACTACAACCAACCAATCCATGACCAACTCACCCATCCCATCTTTACCCCTATGAAAACTCAAGCATCCCGCAAAATAGCCAACAACGAATCAACATGATAACGTTTGATGGCATTTGTGCCTTACACAGTCACCTCTTATTGGGGCACAACACAAACATTGGCATAAACAGAGACAACCGAAGACCAAGTCATCCTCCAACACTGATTCCCCAATAAGATAATGAAAAATCTACAAACAGCCAACAACGAACCCAACAATTACAAATCGCGTACCCCTTGAGCATTCACTGCGTATTGCGTATTTTGAACTCCATACATTCAAATTTGCATAAAATCAAAATGTTCCGTAAAAATAAACCCGATTTCTTCAAGTTTCCAAGATCTCAGAAGCCACTCTATTTATGATTTGTTGGATGATAAAATTAGACGATTTCAAGGGGTTAAAATATCGAAAGTGTTCCGTTAATTCGCAACTTCCACTCTCTACCCTAATTTTTTTTTCCAAATTCGCGCGTTGTCTTTGCAAACAGAATATAACCATGTCTGTAACCGAACCGAAGACATAACTTTTCTTTATGAAACCCGTTTCAGTCGCATTGAACGCACAGAAAAGTTTTCCTCGGTAATACATCAGCTTAATGGAATGCTGCGGTTATAACTAGAAAGCAGAAATCACTCGTGGGAAAACTTCCCTCTCAGTGCGAATGTACGCGCGAAACAATAACCACAGCCACAGCCGGAGAGCATTAACTTACCGTTGTCCGTGTCTTGAAGGCTGAAGCTAACCTGCTGGAGGTGGCTTCCAAGAGAACGATGACCAATGCAGAGATCCAACATCATTTGCGACAAGCGCGGCTCATCTAGATCTGTTTCACCACTTATCCACTTGACGCATTATAAGCACGATGTTTCAAAACAAGCGTATTAGGCCTATAATTATACTGTACTTCCATTGCAATACGCAGCGGCGCAGCGCATTGATCAAGCCCCGCCCAGTGGATGACTAGAGCTGATTTGCATGCCGACTAATACACGCTCAGAACTCGTTGCTCTGTGGACAGCTTTTACGTAGTTGGGTGGGTATCCGTTCGAGCACGACCTCCATGAAACAAGGAACCGACGACGTGTAAATGTCTGTAAGCGACCATTAACACGTCTCCTAGCAGAATGGGAAATGGGAGACTTTCTGAATTGTCTGCATCATTTTATTTTGAGCATGCATCCGCTCAGAGTTCAAAACGCGGAGCTGACTATAGAAAAGAATATCTTTGCCGCCACCAAGCGTTTCGAGAGTCTCCCATTTAAGGCAGTCCGTGTTGAACTCTTCATTTTCAATAGACCAATAATTCTGTGCCCGCTAAATCACGGCACCTATATTAACCGCATAGCAACGTGTATTTTGAGTGGTGTTTACAAAAAATACAGCCAAGTTACAGTACAATACCCAGCACATCAGTAGTCTGAGTACGGTACCTGCTGTCGGTTTTATATTGGGTAATAATACTTAAAGAAACACTTTGCTTTTGATAGGCGACGTGTTTATTAATAGAACCTGAAAAGTAACAGGTCACGCGGCGAGCTTCCGGAGCTTACGTTGGGCCGTCCTATCACGTTCGATAATTTTGGGAAGAATGATTTCTAAATGAAACCATACCAAGAAACACTCATATCGGAATTTCTCCCTTTATGCTCCTCAAGTAATATTTTGGTAAAGTCACCTGGAGATGGGTAAAAACCTAATTTCATCAACGACCTTTCACTCCCGGCAATATCGTTCCCTAGGTCTTCTTGCCTTCGTGCAAGTTTGTTTTCATTTCCCCGTGCTTACGTGAAAACGAGATTGTACAAAGTTGCAAAGATTTACCTGACTTGCTGTGGATGGGTTCTAGATTCAGTCGAGTTGACCTGACGCAGTTCTCGTCAGCAAAGTTATACATAAGAGAATCTTTCGCAAAAGCAGAATATTGTTTTAAGTTTATTTCCTTATAAATTACAAATTCCTTAAATACGTTAGTCCATTATTATTGTGGCTATAACCAAAAGACTACCGTCAAGTATAATTCCGCAAATGTTCATCTGCGTACGAGAACACCGGTTCCGGAAGCGCGCCATCAGGGGTCAACTTTCAGGCTCCATATTTAATACCCACTCTAGGTCACGTGACTTAGCGGGCGCAATCAGTCTATTCGCAGAATTGCTCTTGAGCTGTTGCTTAAAAGTTGACACTTTTCGGTTAATGTGGCTCCATTAATGATCCACAATTTCGGATAATCTTGGCTGTGGCCGAAGACAAAATACATGCGTCTAAGGGAGCCTTCGCACTTGTAGTTACTGCCGTTTAAATTTCTGCTCTAGTTGACCGTTAGGCTTCATCGTCGATGGACGCTGGCCTCAGCCTGCAGCAGTATCATTAGAACATGTTTGAAGTGCACAGTCGACAAAGAAATGGCCGATTTGCCGCGATTTCCATTTAACCGAATGTGAGGAAATGTGTGATTGATTGGGGCTTTCGGTGCCTCACAAAAAACAACATTTTATATTTATTATGACGGATACTCTAAACATTTCCAAATCTTCAACCCTGCCATAACAAACAGCAGAACAATTCAAGTTCCCACAAAGGCCTACCTGGGCAGTCATCGGCACAAAAAATTTTGGTCTACCATTTTCTCGCAATGCACTGCGAAAAAGGCCTCACCGTGGCAAACTCTTGGTGGCGCTCTGAATAGTGAGTTGATTCTAGTTTTAAAGGTGTTTTTTTTTTTCGAAAGATTGCTTTTCGAAAGATTGCAGGAGCTAGATAGCCCATAACGTGTGTTGCACCGTAGGTGGCAGTTTTAGGATATGGACAAAAATTGCAGCAGTTTACCACAGCCAAGCTGCGGGACATGTTGATCTTTTTCCGTCGTCAAGGGTCGTTCTTTGCTGACCTTTAGGAATACCTACTGATCACATCATTATTTTCTGAGGTCAGTATTTTCTGAGGTAAAAGACTGAAATCCTTACTATCATAGAGAGCGACTACTCCACTCGTGAAATCAACTCTCTAAAACTGGATGAAATTCACTTCAAAAGAGTAAAAAGCACTCAAAAGTGGAGCCATGTAAAGAGACATCCCTTTCTCGAGTTGTCCTAAGTAGTACTCCTTGGCTGAGTGGAACGTAGATTTATTAGAGACTCATCCTTTTGAGAGTAAGATATTCACACTTCTACCTTTAAAGAGAAATCATGACACAAGAACATCATTGCACTATAGGGAAATATTTCAGTTACGGTGTGTGGCACTATAGAGCGTCCGTGTATATTGAGCTTGCGTGCCTTATACCGTGGCTGTACTGATCTCACAACTGCATAATAATATTTATCCATCGATCCATCCTCGCGCGCACAGTCAGTACGGCCGTGTCCGAATAACTCCACTGCGGCTATCTGAAGTGATTGCAGCCTGCGTAGACTTGTGTGCATTTCGAAGCCCTGGTCCTTTACAGACACGACCATATGAAAGCATTATATATTGCACTGTATATTATAATTATTGCGTGCTTTGAAGGGGAATACGGAGCACAGAGGGGTGCGCCATTTTCCCATCGATTTCTTCCCTTGTGCGTTGACCACGAAGCTAAAGAGATTAGTGTTTTTCGGCGTCTGTGGCGTTGAGCACTGAAGCGCCATGCACATAGCCAGGCAGCCAGGCTTGTGTAGCTCCTCGCAATCGGTAATTTATGAGGGCTGATCGCTCCATCACCTGAGAACAACGTACTGGAGTGTCATGGCAGCGGGACTCGCTATGTTAGGCAGGTGGACTGGCTGGCTGGTTACGTTCGCCACGATGGTCCAGTTCTTCCTCCTCTTTGGGCCACTGTACAATTACAGCATCTTGTTTGTCAGTTTTCGGGAAGAATTCGAGACGAGCGCCGCACTGACAGGTGGGTATAGTCTTATGAACTGGTGCATCGAAACCATCGGTGGGTGCGCTGGCTGAACTAAATCAATTGAAAACTGGTGCAAACACAAAGTTCATCCGGGCTCTACGACAGGCAAGCCGGCATTGACCGGAGTTTCTCAAACAAAAATGAAATTATTGTCTTGACCAAGTCTTTTCACTTCATTTCAATTTTTTTTTGGTGGGTTAGCCACTTACATTTTTAATTTTTCACGCAAAACAAACCCACCCCTCGATAAGTGATAGTTCCCAAGCCTACTAGCAGCCATTTTTCAAGTGGCTTCCCTCTACTTTCTGGGAGACTGCATGAGGACCGATTTATATCCACAATATTATCAATTCTGCACTCGGATGGAAGCCCCTAAGCAAGCCCAGGGAGTTGATCCTGGCCCAATAAGTTTCCCCAACCCCTCCAATTTTACAGCCAAACAATATACCTTTTCAAAAGAAATTTTCGGGGTGGACTCTTTTAATATGCGAGTGAGCTCAGTAGAAGTTTTCACTCTAATGAGTTCATTGCAACTTGCATGCTAATCAGTGATGGTCTTGTACCGCAGTTCACTATAGCGGATATGTTTAGGTATTGAAAGGGCTGTTGGAAGGCAGTCAGCCTTTCCCTGCATGATCAGTAGCTTTTATCATTCCGTACCCCCGACATTCTGTGCCGAGCAGCTGACAGTTTTTCTTCCCGCCCTTGACTGTTGTTTTTCTCTTTTGAATGTTTGTGAACATAAACGGTATGGCTTTCTCCTTGAGGGGTTCTGGCTTGTTGATGTTGTACTTTTGCTCGTGTGACGGGTGATTCACAGTAGTGCGCCTCTAAGAGTTTGCGACGCGTTGGCCAGTCACAACACGCAAAATCTGTCGACCCTCTTCCAAAGGCGCATTATATTAGTCGACAGATTTCGTGCATTGTGATTTGCCAACTTGCTGCAAACTTTTGAAGGCGCACTACTGTGAAACGTCCATATTCGCTGTAAAAATAATGTCTTAATTAAAAAGTAAGTCATTACTAAATTTTGCTCCCCTTTGTGAAAACAGCACAACGTAGTGGACTTGATTTCCCTTATCCGCCTCGACTAGAAGTACCCCCCTCAACGGTTGAAAAAAGCCAGGTGGTCCGCAGTACTCCATCGATCGCCATCTTGTTTTGTTGAAACACATGAGAAAATAACGCTATCTTATGTTTGGCATTCCAACGTGTTCTCTTTTAAAATCATTGGCATTCATCTAAGTTTACGCTGCATCCTGACTCATGCAGAGCAATGGTCCATTCTATCTCCGAGAATAAAAAATACACAGAGAACGAATGTTGTTTCAAATGTTTGTTTACAATTGCTAAGAAACTATAGGCTAAAGGGAAAGCAACATTTTACTTTGAAATTTGTCAAAACTTCACAAGATTTCAAAAGATGCTCCAAAATAAAATCTGTTCTAAGGAACAACAAATGCAGTCCCATTTGTTTCAATCAGTTAATAGTCACGTTATTTCTGATGAAACTCTATTCACTATCGATTCCCAAAGTTTCTCAACTTTCAAAGACTGATCACATCCATGCATGGAAAAACCAAGGCGTTAACAATATAAAAATGAAGAAATTAGAACAGATTTCAGCCTATTACTACAGTGTAATTGGAAAAAAAATAGTCAGGTAAAGCACACAATTAGCGAGTCAACCCGAGTTATCACAAAGTTGACCAGGACACATGTAAATTGACAGGGTCCGACACAGAACAAAATCAGCGCAGGAAACGATCTCTCGAGGTGTATGAAAAATAAACGGAAAAAGTGGACCCAACAAAAATGATGATGGACACATGGGGAAAATAAACAGAAATCGCTCTGGGAGCTGTAGGATCCGGTTCCCCATCTGGATTTTTTAATGTTCAAAGATCATGGCTTTGGGGTTTTTTATAACCAAAAAGTGAGTGTGCATTTTTTTTACATATAATTCTATGGTGTACATGTTTATTGCTAGAGTCGAATTTCAATCATTGTTCACATCGCCGTCAGCCGTGGCTCTCACAGTTTGGATCGGTCACGCACTGCGAACATTGATCTCAACCACTTGCCAAAACTGAGTCACGCCAAAGCCTACTTGCATATTCCTGGCTGTTGGCATGGAAGTGGTAGACAAAAACCTACATGTACTTGTACACAGTACGAATATGAACCCGTCTTTGCCGCCAGACTATGTACCACGTCCGGATTACGGTTGGCGGTTGGCTGCGCCTTAAAATCACACACGACCTTGGGCTTGTGGCTTCAGCCGCGATCATAGACTTGTGAGTGATTTCAAGCCGCAGCCCAGTGATTCGGACACGGCCCACGATTGTAAACTGATAAAGTGTCACCGACGGCAGTGGAGACTACCCTTACCTTAATATTTACACAATTTTCTCGGGAGTTTAAGGTACACATCAAATTAAAGCTTTTCTTCTTTGATTTTCATTTTCGGTTCAATTTTGGGTTGGTTGAGCAATACCTATCGTGGAAATTTATATCTAAGGATGGCCATCCCTAAAAAGGCTTGCAGCCCATCGCCATTTTGAAACTGATGGCAGTGATCTATTGCAAAATAGAGCCACTTAGCGGACGGTCCCATTCTGCCCAAATTTCACCGCTGGCAGTCTCGTTTGTGGCGTACGTGCACCTTTGTTTTTGTACGAACCCACCGTCTCATGAGCCAGAGCATGCCCTGATGAAATCAAATTACATGTAGTTCAATGTACTCGACCGTCCGTTGGTTCACGTCAGCGTGGGCTGTTTGAATGAAGATATCTGTCTGCACCCCCTACTGGTGGCATTGTCGATCGAGTGAGGTTGAATCAATAACCTGGCTTGGCAGAGTTCAACCAGGTTTCGCTCTGTAAAACATGTAAAGCATAAGCATGTGCGCATGTCAGTCTGACAACTCATGGGGCTGTTTTGTTTTTCTTTTTCTTTTTTGTTGAGTTCCTGCCAGTTTGCGTGTTGCTCTCGGTTATTTGAGTCAATTTCAACTACAGGATGTTTTAATCGTTAGCACGAAGTTTCAGATACAGTTTAGCTGTAGGCCTGTAGTCACCCCGTCTTATCAGTCTTAAACCAAAATGTTGGTTCCGTTCTACTTCTATGGTTCAATGTACATGTACGGGTATTGTACCCTTTCGATTCGCTGCTTTCTGCGCTTGGGTAGTCTGAAGAACCAGATCTCTTTGTCTTTGGAATTTGCACTTTGTCTTGTACAACCCCCAACACAACCACTAGATACCATTTCTTTCGGTAGTACTCCAAGCTACGACCAAGTTCAATGGTAGCCTAAGCTATGTAGGCCTACGTACAGTATACGTTTACATATACACTGAAAAGGGGTGCGTGATTTTACAAATGCACATGTTGGCTCCAAGAACACTAACGATGTAGTTTATACTACTTATGATGGAAGGGGGCCACACTAAAAAATGCACACAGGAAAAATTAAGATTTTAAAATTTTTAACAAAGCAATAAAAATTCCACTTAAATTAGAACTCTCAGTTGATAGAGCTCTGGTACGGTGTTCCAGAGGTCGCAGGTTCAAATCCCGCTCCAAACAATTTCTTTGTTCGTCTTTATAATAAATTAAAACTGATCACACTTCTTGCCGCCAAGGCCATTTGTGCACATGCGTGCATAATTATGAATTTATTGATGAAAAGGTTTATTTGGTGAGCACGGATTGGGAGTACAGTTGAGACTGGTTCCCTCCACAAAATTTAATGGACAGGTTGGGAAACCGTGTACAATTTCACTCTCTGTGCAACTGAGAATGGCCGACCAAAGTGGCTGATTATGCGTAAATGCACATGGACAATTAGCTCTCAACATCTGCACGCTGTACTGCACGCATAATGAACAGCCATTTTTGGTTCCAAAGTCTGAAGTTGGCGCTACTCAAATTATAGGATACAACTCTGATCCAGATGATAGTTCAGTGGTTCGACCAGGGAAAATGGAGACACATTTGGTACATCGATTTTCCTTCTTGTTGTCTCCAGGTTGGTTGGGATCTGTGGCCAACGGCCTTATCAGCTTCTTTAGCCCTGTAGGTGGAGTGTTGCTGAGATGGCTCAGTCACCGGACCGTCTGCCTGTTGGGGGTGGCGGTCTACAGCGCAGGCGCACTGGCAACCTCCTTCGTACCGAACATCTACTGGGCCTTCCTGTCTATGGGCGTCATGATGTCATTCGGGGCTGGCGCCTCCATGCACTGTGGGATTTGTTTGCTTTTCCAGTGGTATCCTGGCAAGAACAACGCCCGAGCGACGTGCCTGGCGCTTCTGGGAACCTCAATAGGTGAGGACATTAGGGTTTCAGTTCCGGAACGGAAGTTTGGCTTGTCCAAACTGCCCTTACGTGGGGCTTGCACGTGGCTCGAGGCCTTAGCAGAATTTTGTTAAGGAAATGCAGGCGTCGCAAAGCATTGTGGGCTACTTTGTTAGTTCAATCACTGCATGCACAATTGCGCAAGGGTCGTGACTCACGCAAAAATGTTTACCTGCGTGATTGTTCAAATAAATTCTATCCATGAGGATTCGACGAAATTGTGTCGTGCGAGCTGAGGGCATTAACTCACCCGAGGTCCATATCAGCAAAATGTAGGGTTATTTACAAGAAGTCGCCTTAAGATTTTTGTACATTTTTTCATCACACCAATAAAAGAAAAACATGTGCACAGGGCGTCATTCGTTGTACCTCTAATCGCCGATGATTGTGAGTATTTCTTTTAGCAGAATGAAGAATCATGAAAAGTCAGGGGAATCTCCCACTGTCTGTTACAGGGCTTCTCGCTTTTGCTCCAACTAAGACTCAACTCATCGAGAACTACGGCTGGCGCAACATGCTGAGGATTTTGAGTGGCGTGGTCTTTACTGTCGGAATGCTTGACGGAACACTGCTGATGCCCGCCTCAGCACGGCAACAGCGTCGCCCAGCGGATGGGGGGTCGGCGTCCGCCGCGACAGGCATGCGACTGCTGGAACTGCAGCCGCGGGGCGAAGACACGGAACAGCCGCAATGTGTGGATAAGGCGACTGATCCCTTCTGCGATGAAGCAGACGGAGAGGAAGGAGGAGATTTCCTGCCCTCCGGCAAAGGAAAAGCCGACAGCGCAGAGTGTGCCGAAAAGGACGAAGACAATGTGCGAAACCTCGAGCGAGACAAGAAGGGATTCGCAGAGATAGTTCGAGACTGGGACGCCTGGTTGTTTGTTGTGTGCCAAACGTTGGCGTACATGTGCTGGAGTTTCGTCGTCGTTAACTTTGTAGGTAGAATTCAATACCTTCCATTGTGTCTTTAGTGCGAGGAATTTCAAACGCAAGTTTGGCCTGCCTGTTATCAAAAGCATAATCCGAAACTTCATGGCAGGAAATACAGAAGAGCTGACGTTTAACAAAGAGCTGGGCACTCGTTATTTCGTAATCTTTTAGTCAGTTGAAACCAAGGCCCTTTTCCAATACTCGACTTGGGCTCCGTCTCAGGCTTCGTTCCCAAAACCAATCCCTGATTGTGGGCCTGAAGCGTTAAAATTAAGTTAGATTACTGTAATTTCTGGTTCTCTTGCATCTTATTTGGTGTTTTGTGGCACTATTAAACTAATTACTGTGCTTACAGCTTCAACGTCAGCTAGTTAAAAAAAACAGTTGAAGCCTGAGACGGAGCCGAAGTTGAGTATTGGAAAACGGCTCAGGGGTTGTGACCAATGTTTGATAGCGCCCTCTCTCTGTGAACGGTGTTGTGTTCGTTGTGAAACTGGGTATGTAAAAAAACGTCATTCGCCATTCATGTTAGTTCGCTGCAAATAAGCCAATTTTCTGTTCTGTCGGTTTTTGTTGTTGATTTTGAACAAAGCTAGTGAGGAACAAATTGTCTTGAACGATAAAAATCGCGAGCATCCATTCTCCAAACATAACGCGACGTTGTGGTCATGAATTTATTCCTCTCTGATGAATACATTAAGTCTTCTGAGTTTCTGCAAATGAAACGTGAAAAGGGCTTATATACTAGTAACAAGCTGCTTCAAATCCTTGGTTTTTCGCTGATAATGCTTTTATGCCTGCCAACTGCAGGCCAGCTTCATGAAGAGTGTGGGGTTCTCCGCCGACGACACATCCCTGGTGCTCGTCGTCTTTGGCGTGGCCGAGGTGGCAGGGAAGATACTGACGGCGTTCCTGGGGGACCATCTCCCCTTCCTGCAGGTCAACGCGTTAGCGATCACCTCGGTGATTGGTGCCATCGCGGCGGGCTTCCTGACTCTCGCTAAGTCACTGGCCGATCTGATAATTCTGTCTGTCGGTGAGTTTGCCAAGTTGCAAAAATAGCCCTTGTCAATGATGGGCACCAAGTTTCCTTTTGATCATATACACTTTTCCATTCGCATTTGGTAATCCGTGTGTGTTAACTGGTATTATGTGCACTTCTAAAATGGTTCCCAAACCTTGTCTTCGTTTCCTTTGTGTAGCTGAACCACACTGTGTTGCCACGCGCCATACTTTTGTATAGTTGAGTCAGACAATGCAAGTTCCAGTTTTCTAAGAAAGGGCTCTCACAATCGCCCAGGGCGAATTCAAGAAAAGACCAATTTTCAACTCGTTTGCCTGGTAACCAGGATATATTTTGTGCACATGTTACCAGGGAAAACTGGCCAGCGGTTTACGAAGGGTCATCGTTCGAACTCACACACTTGACTGTGATAAAAGGGGCTTACTTCACACTAGCTGTAATGGCATAAAATCCATTTCGTTTCTTGCAGTGTCCGGTCTCATGCGTTCCACATACTACGGCATTACGTTTTCCAGTAGCTTTGAACTGTTCGGCGTCTACGGAGGAGACATTGTGGCGGCCCTGGTGATGGTGCCGTGCGGCCTGGGTAATCTCAGTGCCGCACCGCTGACAGGTAAGGGCGCCCTCCAAGTCCCGTACAATGTACGAGCAGTTTGATTAACCACACACCGGCATTGTACATTCTGCATGGTATCCTTGCGTCCTAAGTCTTGCTGTAGCAGCTGTTGTTCATGTAGCGACTTTCCACCAAAAGGGATCTCGTTGCTGCACGTACAAAACATGCCATGTCGTGTGCCTGCACTGAACGGAAAGGTACAGTAAGCGGAATGAACCGCCTCCTCGTCAAAATAGTGCGGATAGGACCCACTGCGAGAACCGTTGGTCGTCATTTCTGACCTCGTGCGTACATGTGAATGAGGATTACAAAAGCTGAAAGCGTATACGGGAAGAGGTTATTGAAGAGTTCTATGTGACTGACACGCAGATCCTTGTCATTTGGTTGGTGCATCTGACATCACGTGACAATCATTATTGCTGCCATTTAATTATGCCAGGGGTTCAGACAGTCCCATTCGCCCAAATGAGATTTACTGTTAAACAGTTAGCATCATCCTTATTCCTACGGCTTTAACAGTCGACAGTCACTGACTTTGAATAGCAGAGCGTTAAAGATAAAAAAACCTTGGAAGAATTGTGACCCGATTCGTGCTACCTGACAAGCACACACAATAATGACGGCTACGTCAACAGAATTTGCCAAAGTTAGCGTCTGTTTTGGACACTTATTAAAACGACGTCATCCATACAGCGGACTCGGATATATGTTGCAGTTAGGCACCATTTCAAAATTCTTATCGGGTAGGTGTCGGACAGAAAGGTCCGACCGATACATTTATTGTCGGTTGGCTATCAGGTGAAGTGTTCTCAAGAGGCCAATTCTACCTGATAAATGCCTTTACACTGCATTCCTCCCCAGCCTATGTGGTTTCAGTGGAGCAACACCCCCTCCATTATTCACTCAACACTCAAGTCATCGGTAGGGTGGCCCTGTCCTATAGTCAACCGATAGGAATTCTTAAATCGTTAAATAATACCTTGGTGTTGAAATAACTGCAAACTAGAGTCCTTTATTTTATAATATTTTATTTCTTGTATTCAGGTACAGAATATAGTAAATAAATTTGTCATTTTTTCTATTGTGAAAGCACTTATTTTTGTCCGAAAATACATTGCAATATATATATATATACACTGTAGCAGCTTTAAAGAACGGGTAAAGTAAAGAAATTTCATGGGTCTGGTTAGCCAGTACATGAAATAACCGATGTTTCCAAAATTGATAGTATGAATTCAAAGAGTTGGAAGGTTAGGACTTAGTTGGTTGCCGAGTCCATTGTATCATTGTTATTGTTTTGAGGTGAATGTAAGGTCTTTTCATGGTTCTAATGAGGAAATGTTAAAAGTGGATGTAATTAGTTCTTAAATGATGCCTTACATAAAAAAAAATTGACTGGCTTTAAATAGTGAGACGGAAAGAAAATTATGGCTCGTTAAAATCCAGACTTTTCGCCTTGTGAAATCGAAAAGTCCACATAATTTATATTGGACTTTTCCATGTCGCAAGGAGCCGCTCAATATGAAGATTGTTTCCCTTGGTTAGGTGCACTGTTTGACGCGTCTGGTAACTACACCCTCAGCTTGTTAGTCTTGGTCGGTCTGTTCGCCTTATCCACCGTCTGCGTCCTAGCCATCACGATCAGGAGAAAGGTGATGTCGCCTTCCACCTTTGAGAAGAGGTACAGGTGGGGTCGAAAGAGACAACTCGAACAGGACGTGAAAACTGAAGAGAAACTTCCGCCGACGAGAGAGACGAAAAATGGAGTTTGCATGGTGACCGAGACTTAGAGACTATAAGCCAAATCGTTAAACAGTACCTTGGTGTTGAAATAACTGCAAACTAGAGTCCTTTATTTTATAATATTTATTTCTTGTATTCAGGTACAGAATATAGTAAATAAATTTGTCATTTTTTCTATTGTGAAAGCATTTTATTTTTGTCCGAAAGTACATTGCAATATATACACTGTAGCAGCTTTAAAGAACACGAGTAAAGTAAAGAAATTTCATGGGTCTGGTAAGCCAATACATGAAATAACCGATGTTTCCAAAATTGATAGTCTGAATTCAAAGAGTTGGAAGGTTAGGACCAAGTTGGTTGCCGAGTCCATTGTATCATTGTTATTGTTTTGAAGTGAATATAAGGTCTTTTCGTGGTTCTAATGAGGAAATGGTAAAAGTGGATGTAATTAGTGAGGCAGGTTACCCTTCTTACCTATACAGTAGTTGATCTTGGAATTGATTAAGTAAATTTTTTTTCACAATCTAAAAAGGGCTTCATGGAATTTCGGGCTGGAATTCTTCAACTGTGCGTAAATTCCCCATACCAAAGGCGGAATTTGCCCATAGTTTGAGTCGGACGCCGTGCAGATCACGGAATACCCCTATAGTTTTGAATAGGATCCGGTGGTCTATGCGTGTATATGTCTGTGGTCAGAACGCATCAAAGCAGTACGTAGCCACGTATAATTTTGTCTCTGTACTGGGGCCAGGAAGGAACACATCCCACGCAATCAAATGTTCCAGCACTAGTTTGATTGCGTAAGGCATGGTGGGAACCAACATGGAGCGGCAAAATTGTACCCATGCATGGAACGAGGTTGATCGATCAGTTATTCCAAAGCTGGTTCGCTCTATCCATTACGCAGGTTCTGGCGTCCGTGAACCAGCGTCGGATCACTGATTGCGATCCGGATCCTCGTGGAACAAATAGGCCCACTGTGTATTTTGTGTAACAATTTTTAAAATGTAATCAGAGATACGAGACATGTAATGAATTTTTATAATGTAAAAATACATTGATGCCGTTAGTAAAGAGGGGTAAATAAATTAACTGTCAAGTGACATGCCTTCTTGAATCTGTATACATGTATCTTCCAGTTGAATAAGATCATCACCAACAAATAGGACATTGTGCCGGAATACGGGCGATTCACAATAGTGCGCCACCAAGAGTTTGCAACGCCTTGGCCAATCACAACGCGCGAAATCTGTGGACCCTTTCTAAACGCGCACTGTCATTTGCCAACGCGTTGCAAACTCTTGGTGGCGCACTTTTGTGAAACGCCCGTATTCCCACCGTTCATGCATCACGTACGCTGTGCCCTCGAGGTGACGGCAGAGCGTGACGCAATTTTGTCGTCTACAGTGTACCATACATACGAAATGTTTTTGCAATCGTAACAAATCTGTTTGGCAACATAATAATCTGCCTCAGCTTTACGCTGGATGCAATAAAATATGAAATAGGTCCCACGTGGACATATACAGAACGAAATCCACATTATATCTGGCTGACCGATTACCTGCAAGTAGTTGTATACACAAGATGGTTATTTCAGTTACCAAAGAGTGTTTAAATTATAATCTGGCCTCCACTTTATAGACCTACTGGAGTTCATGAAATTTTACACTCCAGGATGCATACTGTTTGTTATTCATTTTGTACGTTTATGAAGGTATTATCCGGTTCGTAAGTGACTTCGTCACAAAGGCAGACGCGCCATGGTTTGCATGCTCCCATTGGACGATCGCTGAAGTTGCGCGTTAACTTCCGGTTCCATGGTTCCATGTAAACGGTGATCAATGCATGTAACTCTGTGTGCACTACACGTGTGCAGTGGGCGTGGTTTAAACTGAAGTGACGTCACATTTACACGTTACACGTGTGCAGTGGGCGTGGTTTAAACTGAAGTGACGTCACACTTACAAACCGGATAACAATGCTTATAACTTTTAGCATTTTAATAATACGGTAGCCGGTATATACACCGTCGACTTTTTTATTTCTCCCCCAAGAAACCCCACTGAAAGTGAAGTCTCGATTTAAGAAGGCAACTTTGTGGTGCACTTTTCGCAGAATGTACGAGATAAAATACCTTGAGTATCATACTTTATGAAAGATTGGCCTCTGACGTAAACTTAAAACCGTTATAAGCAAACAAAATGGCGGAAAGGTATGTGAACAGACAATCTAACGACTTGTGACTTTGAGGGTGCACCCCACGGACGTATATAAAACAAATCTGGATTCGCAATGCCCTTAATCAGCTTATAGAGACCATTGAATTCACTAACGGCCATTTTACAAAGCTTGCCCGCCTTTGTTCTCCCTGGCGTCAATAGAAGCGAGCCAATCCGCGCATTTGTATTTGGCTTGGTAATATTGGCCGCTGGTTGGCTTCTACTCGTGCAAAGGCGTTGCAAGTCCAGGTTTTTTTTTATATATATATATATATATCCGTGGTGCACCCCCGTCCGCCGAGCTCGTTAATAAAAGTTTATGCACTCAAAACATTACGTTAGAGAACCCTGCCAGTCATAGAATGAAGGAAATTGTAGAAATATGGCACTGAACCTCTGGCCCAGGTTCCGGGCTTCCAATTCTGAGCAATTTGGATGCAATCGGGTCCAAAACTGCCACTATTTAGCAATTTTAAAGAGATATGCATTTTCAAAATGGCTACTTTTCCGGGCAGTAAAACTTCTTTCAGTTTAGGCGCGATCAGCTTTGGGTGAGTTTTTCCAAAAATTCATCGGTCAACTAACTGAAAATTGAAAGGAAAATGAACAAGGACTTGTGGAACATAAATATTTAGTCCAGCCTAGACACCCGTGAGAGTTGCGCGTATTTGTAACATACTTTTGAAATTATAAGGATTTATTATGGGTGTCTATGGGAATTTACTTATAGGAATGCACCCTTAAGCACTCCTTCGTGCGCACAACACCACCGTTATTTATCAAAGACAAAGTCTTGCATCGCTAATGCTGGAGGTATTATGTAATCCAGTGTTATGTTAATATAATTTCTCCCTTGATATGTCGCCAACCGTAGAAGGTATCGAACCTTTGTGGCACGCAGGGCTCTAGTCTGCCGTATTTGCATTAATCTTCTGCAGCAACAACACCAACATCCATTGAACCAGGGCGGTAGAAATCGAGCTCTGAACTGAAGTTTCACGTGCCTCTGTAATTTAGTGTAAATGGCCCGTGCGTGGAAGGCAGATGTTATTGATGATTAATGGCTTCATGGGGTCCCGGGGAAGCTTCAGCGGGCGGATGGCGAAAATTAACCAGGCTTCAGGAACGGTTATTGGACTGCACCAACTTAGCATGCGAAAAGAGCTTAGAACCTTCGCAAGCCGCAGGCCCCCCCCCCACACACCCCCAGCGCGTTGGATCGGATACACACCAGCGGGTGCTTTCAAGTTGAACGGAGGCCCAATAGATCGGAGCGCGGAGGGGTGATTTCCCGGCTCTGGCTCTCGCGTACGGCTGTCATGGCAGCGGGACTCGCCGTGTTGGGAAGATGGGCCGGCTGGCTGGTCACATTCGTCACGATGGTCCAGTTCGCTCTTCTCTATGGGCCGCTGTACAATTACAGCATTTTGTTTGTCAGTTTTCAGGAAGAATTCGAGACCAGCGCTGCACTGACAGGTGAGAGTATTAGTAAGTGAAACCATTGTATTCAGAGGGAAAAGACCACATTGGGTACTGTAATATTCTCCACATTCTCCAACTCCTCTACTCGTGTATCAAAAGAGGGTTTGCATGACTGCCATCTTGAAGGCCAAAGCTTTTTTTCCACAGGATATGTGCAAAGGAGCATGCAACTAAAGAACTGCCCCAAAAGATGGCCGCCATGCATGCAAAGCCTCTATATAGGTATTGCGAAAAGCTTTGTACAAATTTCGCCACACAGGGTCCACTGCCGCGTAGCCAGAGTTTGCTTTCCTATGACGAGGCATTCATTTTCCTGTGTGAAATCACAGAACTAAATCAGAAAGATAGAAAGACAAAAAAACAATAAGGAAATGAAACTATAACATTATGCAGTGTGCCCACTATTTTCAATGTCTTGGTCGTGCGCTTATAACTATGACATCGTGTTCACCCAGTCAGGTGTCGCTTGTGTGGTTTGTGTAATCCAATTTCCGTTCCGATTTAGCTTCTGTCATTATCCTGATTCATCTCCTAGATTCTCCATTCTGTTCCATTCTGTCAAAATATTTTATCTGTTTTTTAATTATTGTTGGAATGTAATTATTTGAACTTTTAATTTGCCGCCGGTTTCTTTTTTGTGTGTGTACTGGGTTTCTTTTTTTGTTTGTTTTGTAGCACAGTTTTCTGGTTGCGTCATTTGGCCCTGAATCATTTTCCTTGGCTGAAATTTCGACTGAATGTCCCTAACATAAAACACTTCATTTTGGCACAGAAATGTACATTTGAAAATTCCTCAGTTTTGAGTAAATTCCAAAATATTAGTTTCGGCAGAATGTTGAAGGTTACCCGTTTAAGTACCCCACAAGTCCAACGAGTGTTCCTTGTGAGGTACTTCCATTGTTCTGCTACCCTTTAACGCACCATAAACACCCGCGTGAACTACACACATCAACACTGGATGACTATTGTTGCGCTGTCAATATCATAATACATAAACGCCGGTGCTGGCATACCCTGTTGACTGGTCCCCTGTGGAAAGGTCGCCGTCTCTATTATATATTGGCACCGGTCCCTAGCTGCGGTTTGATGTGGGCGATTAGTCCTGTCAGTTTGTGCTGATTAACTGAAGTTTTGTCAGGCCAATAGCAATGCTTTGGCAATAGCAATGTCCATCTGCGGCACATTTTGTCTAGCATAGAAAACATGGCCATCACCATTTCATTGTGCACGCTCGAGAAAAGGTTGAAATAACTGGTGTTCCTTTCACGAGCGCTTCTTTGGCTCCTTTGGTCTGGAATTGAATTTCGCTGGTCGGTCTGTCGTTTGTTTGTTGGGGTGTTGAGGAATTTGTTTTTTTACTGTCCACTTTCGTCTGCTGTCTCCAGGCTGGTTGGGATCTATGGTCAACGGCCTCATCAGCATATTTAGCCCGTTGGGTGGAGTGTTGCTGAGAGGGCTCAGTCACCGGGCCGTCTGCCTGCTGGCGGTGGCGGTCTACAGCGCAGGCGCACTGGCCACCTCCTTCGTACCGAACATCTACTGGGCCTTCCTGTCCATGGGCGTCATGATGTCATTCGGGGCTGGCGCCTCTATGCACTCCGGCATCTGTCTGCTTTTCCAATGGCATCCAGGCAAGAACAACGCCCGTGCTACGTGCCTGGCGCTTCTTGGTACCTCCATAGGTAAGGACCACGGCTGTCCTTGTAAAATAGTTCTTGATATCTTTTTGGTGAAAACGAGCTTTACAAAGCACTGAAGCTGCTTGCTGGTTCCCAATCTCACCACTGGAATGTGTAGAGGGAACCAGTCTCGACCGAACCTTTAACTGATATTAAAAATAAAAATTCGAACTGGGACCTTTCGCGTGAGGGGCGAACATGTTTACTGTTACACCACGGAATCCAGCAGTTGTTTTAGTTTGTAAAGTAATAGAAATATGCCTTCTTGTCTTTGGGAATTTTCACAACTGAAGAGGAAATCCGTCAGAAGAACGAAACCGATTCCAGTGATGTCAGATTGGCTCATTGTTGCCCAAAATGCACACAAAAGAAGAGAGAAATTCTCAGAAACTTGGACTTTTGTTGAAGCAGTTCGTCACAATCTACGGTATGCCTTATTTCCCTTTAAAGAACCTAAGCAATTTTTGTGCGGTTATTTATTTTTATTGATGAATACGATAAATCTCTCACCCACTACCTCTTGCAGGACTTCTCTCGTTTGCTCCATTAAAGACTGAACTCATTGGGAACTACGGCTGGCGTAACATGCTGAGGAGTTTGAGCGGAGGGGTCTTTGTGATCGGAATGCTGGACGGAATTTTCCTGTTGCCCCCGCCGGCACGGCAACAGCGTCCCGCGGAGGAAAAATCGGTTTCCCCCGCTTCAGTCACACGTCGAGTCGAAGGAAAGCTGCAAGAGGGAGTCGTGGACGTGCAGCAGCGGATGGGCAAGACGACGGACGCCATTTGCGAAGTAATAGACGGACGGAAGACTGAAGTACCGCGATCCGGCAAAGGAACAGCCGAAGCGGGAGCCCAGCCCCTGAAGGACGCCAGAGATGGCCAAGACGATGCCCGAAATCTCGAGCAAGACAAGAAGGGATTAGCAGAGATGATCCGAGACTGGGACGCCTGGTTCTTTGCCGTGTCCGTCACGTGTAGTACCATGTGCTGGACCTTTGTCGTTGTTAACTTTGTACGTATTTCCATCTTGGGCCCTAGGGGGGAAAAAATGAAAACCGCAAAAATGTTTATCGTGGGTTTGGAATTGGGTGGTAACCATTGTGCGATAAAGTTTGAAGTCTGCACGAGCTGCATATGCAGGCAGATAATTTTGTGCTCGTTGTAAAGCAGGATGTCCTTGGCTTGCAAGCTGAAGACATGTAGGCCTACATGTACTTGCTGAGCAGCGTTGTTTTCGATGTCTAATACTGGCGATTCACAAATTAATGTGCACCTCCAAGAGTTTGCAACGGGTTGGCCAATCACAACGCGCGAAATCTATGGACCCTTTCCAAACTCTCATTGTATCAACAGATTTCGTGCATCGTGATTGGCGAACGCGTTATAAACTCTTGGTGGCGCACTATTGTAAAAGGGCTGTTTTCACGTGATCTAATAGTGGGAATACAACCAATTGTACCAAGCAAAGAATTCTAACGCTCGTACCACGAAATTGTCACTGAAATAACTAAAAAGAGTCCGAAACCATGGGCAATGTTTTTAGAGCACCCCCTTCTGGTCATAATGTTGGTCCATAAAAATCGCCATTTTCAAGCAACAAAACAGGTGTTTTGCGGTTTCCTTCAGCCATGTTGCCTGGCTGCTGCAGCATAGAGGCAGTGAATTCTCCAGCACCTCAGTTTCAGCCTTCTGTTAATACTTAGCTGTTTCGTTCGTACACGCTTGGGTTAACTGTCTTCCTTCCCCCAGGCCAGCTTCATGAAGAATTTGGGGTTCTCCGCTGACGACGCATCCCTGGTGCTTGTCGTCTTTGGCACGTCTGAGGTGGCAGGGAAGATACTGACAGCGTTCTTGGGAGACCATCTCCCCTTCCTGCGGGTAAACGCGGTGGCGATCTCCTCAGTGATTGGTGCTATTGCAGCGGGTTTCCTGACTCTTGCTAAGTCACTGACCGATCTGATACTCCTGTCTGCTGGTGAGTTTGCTGAACAACAGAAATGTTTTACTGGCGATTACCAAAATGATAGGTGCTATCAACGGCGAATTCGAGCAATGTCCATTCGTCAACTACCCATCGATTTGGCTGGATGCAAGATATATTTTGTGTACAATACCTGGCCAAAATAACTGACCAGTGGTCGACCAAAAGTATTTGCTCGAACTTACTCTCATGTTAGACTCTTCCCTAGTTAGTCTCATCCCAAAACTGGTTGCGGAAGAGCCAGCTTCGCTTCGTTCAATCTGTATGGCTGAACCACGAATTCCCTCATGCTCACTGATTCCCATAGGCGTATTTTTTATTATCGGGCCTTCTGAGATATACCATGAACTTTCCTATGGTAAACTGATGGAAACTAATCTTCACGCCTCTTGAAAGTTCCCTTATTGAAACGCAAGGCTTTTCTTTAAAAAAAAAAGCCTCCGGGGCTACGATTATGGCATTTAGTCGAGTTTCTACAGCGTGTTGTGTAAGAAATAAATCGCTTCCCGTAGCGCGCCTGAGTCTTATAAAGCCTGAGCTAGAGAGCCATCCCACAGCGCCCTCCTTTGTACGTCCACCGGTCGACTTCTCGTCCTCAGATAGAATGGTTCCCATCCCCTACATTGTTTCCAGACGTTTTACAGACATCCTCTGAACGTAGGAACCAGTGGCGATTATTGAATCCTGCGGGATGTGTGTTAATGAGGAAACGATTCCCGCTCAATGCACAAATCAAGCAGGAAATGATAGCATTTTTGCTTTTTCTTCTCCGTTACTGAAAATAAGTTCACCATAGATTGTTCATTTATCTACAATTTAACAGAATAACCACTGATTTTAAATAAATTGGCTCAAAAAGATTCATCGATGATAATCATTAAAAAATTACCACACTGTGATCAACAGAGGCTTAGCAAGGATAGGCGCTTATGTTCAATTCGTTGCCCCGCTGAAAGGTTTTTCATGTTAAAGCATAAACTTAAATGTTCAGTTTCCAAATTGACAGGGCTAATCGCATACGACCGCAGCTAGCTACAGGTCCCTATTTAAAATAGAGACGAGGACCGGTCCAGTCCTCAGTCAAAAGAAGTTCTCGATGGAACTTCAAAGGCATGTTTGTTACCTTAGTTCCTGCTGGTTAACTCGTGAATCGGTCTCAGCAGCTACCGCCCCAAGGTCACATCTTAACACCACTGCGTAGTGTTGTTCAGTTGAAAAGCCTATAAATCTCTATCCTCTGCTGTTTTAAAATAGCCCTAGAAGAAAAAATAAATTGAGTGAAACCAATGTCTTTTCTTTTCCTAGTTTGCGGTCTCTTACGTGCTGTGTTTTTGGGTATTTCATTTTCTGCTTCCTTCGAACTTCTCAGCGACTACGGAGAAGACGGAGTGACTGCTGTTGTGATGGTACCCATGGGCGTGGGCGCGCTCGTTGCAGCACCACTGACAGGTAAGGACGCCCTCTTGTGGACAGCGTGACCTCACACGGACTTCTCCGTCGCAAGAGATATGGCTATTCAGATGGCTGAGTTCAGGCGGCTTGTTCTCGGTCGTATGTTCCCGAACAGCTCGATTCGTTGTTCGTGGGTCGGCCGCTCGAACGCCGGGAACGTGCAACCAGTTATCGCTGGTAATTACTAGAAAGCAACATTCAGCATGGCGGCGCCCATGTACAACGTTTAAATAACTGGGCTAAATTCTTTTCCATTTTATAAAGAAACAATCATTTCTGTGTTGCAGAAAATTATTAATGTTAATTTTGCAAAACGTTCCATTGTCTCCGGCTTTGTAAGCCATCTCGCTAGTTTTTGCGGCTGTCCAAAAATCAAATCTCACGAGTTTTTCCGGGCGTTCCTGTACAATCTTGACCAGGAGGACAGTGCTTACTCAAATTCCACGTGTCATGCGTACACGTGAGTTTGATTGAAGTACCCTTATGGGAAACTGTGAACAACGGAGGTCCTCACAGGGCTCCAATCCATTGTTTGGACTTGAACAAGTCCACGCAACGTTTCCACGTCTCTGAACTACAGTTTTAGAGGCATTTTCTGGGTCAGGGTCAGTAGAAAAATGAAGAGGAACAGTTAGAGAAACCATAAAAATTCCAGCTTGAAGGGGAAAATGACTACTTTTCCCACTTTTCTTGAGAATAGGGAAAGGAAGGAACGTCCACAAAAGATATTTACAACATTTGTTCCTCTTCGTCGAAGAAGAAAAGCTAGAAACTAAAGGGGTGTGAATTAAATGCCATCCTCCCTGGATATAACGCGCTGTACTAGTAACTAGGAAGACATCAAAAGTTCCCGCTCACAAAAGTGAGCTCATCGCCGGGGCGTCTTCTATTTTACAGGTGCACTTTTCGACGTGTCGGGCAATTACACCCTCAGTTTGTTGGTCTTGGTCGGTCTGTTCGCCTTTTCCACAATCTGCGTTCTAGCCATCACGATCAGGAGAAAGATGAGGTCGCTTGTCGTCTACATGAGGAGGTCGGGTCGAAAGAAGGAACTCACACAAGACGTGAAAACTGGAGAGCGCCCTCTCGCGACGACGGGAGGAACCGAAAACAACGCATGTACCGAAACTAACAGGTGATGAGAGACGGTGAAAAGTACGTAGCATTTTTTCACTGACTTTGTCATTAATCTTGCAAAGAATGCGTATGGTAATTAGAAATTATGTTATAATTTTCCTATTTCACTGTAATTTTAGAATTACAAATAGAATTTATTGTGTTGTCTTTATTTTGTTTCTCACGGCAAAGTTATATACTTTGCTTAAGATTTAATTGCAGTTGAAAGAAATTAGTGGCGTGGGAAATTGTCTTGGTTGGATTGCTCATTTGAAATTTCGCAAAAGGTTGTTGGTAAGGGACCATACGGCAGAGCTTCGTCCCCATACAGATAGGAAGCAAGATATGGGACGGAGAGCTCCCCCACCTTTGTGTTGGTTATTATTTGATCGGAATCTCAGGAATTCTTTACAGAAATCTCAGAGGGGGTGTATTAGGTAACAATACTAGTCTCTCTGGGGTGGGTATCGGAATTGTTCATTAAGTGGGTACCCCTCCGTCCCATATCTTGCTGGGTATACCCACGTACCCATTTCGGTCAACTTTGGCGTTCTGACTTGGCGCCCTCGAGGCAAGCGCATACAGTCATGATCTGTCCTCCCATCCTCGATCCCAGTGAGCGCAGACATGGTTCTTAACCGCGAATGTTTAACAGGACGCCATCTGCTGTCGTTCCTGCGCATCGTCACAAACAACCACGTTTCTCTGGCGCACAAAAAGAACGCGACAATCATGCTCACTGGCAACTCTTGAAGGTGTGGAGCGGGGAAATGTAAATCCCACTGAGACGACTGAATTTGTGTCTATTTCTTGCCTTGCGTGTTTCACTTTGTTTGACCTTTTTTGGTTTAATAATAGGCTTTGAGACACTGGTCGGAGCAGACCTACCAGTCTTTTTTTACTACAGTTACTGCGAACTATGAACGCATGCTCAAAATAAAGCGCGCAAGCTCAAAATTGTGTAAAAGGCACAGACATATAGACGCATAGACCGCCAGGTTCTATTAAAAAAAATAAGGGTTTTGCGTGATCTCCGCGGCGCCCGACTAAACTCAAAACTATGCGCAAATTGACCCCTCAGTATACGGGATTTACGCACAGTTGAAGAATTCCAGCCATAAAATTCTACTGAGCCACTTTTCGATTTAAAAAAGCCTCTATTTACTTAATCTGGCCCTTAGGGATTCAAAACAATGCGGTTGCAACATTTGAAAAGAAGAAACTGCAGTACTGAAGAGCAAAAAAGTGAACGTATTTTGGAGCACATGCAAACAAATATAAGCAAGGTAAGTGCCGTGCGCGTGATGCGCACTGGACGCGCTATCATCCATCACTTTACACACCGTTTGCCCATACATTTCAATTAGGCCGGTGGTCTATGCGTTTATAATGTCTGTGGTAAAAGGATTGGTATGTTTGTCGCCACCAAGCGTCTCAAAGTCTCCCATTAGTTTTGCTCTCGTATTCAAATCTATTCGATATGGATAATTCCTTAATAATAATTGCAATTGCACAATCTTACTTCGTAAGTAACGTGACTGCATGGTATTTTATTTGTTCGTGGGTGAAACATTTCAATACTGATCGAAAAGAATATATTCAATAACAGTTTTATAGTTTGTTTTATATAAATAATAACATAGCTGTGCAGTGAAAATATACATATAAACTGATTTACATTTCTAATACAGAGACAAATATGAAAATATTAACCTCAGAGGCGCCCCCATTTGTTCAAATCCAATCAAATGTGTAATTAATACGGGCGATTCACATNAAATTTGTCGACCCAATGCGCGTTTGGAAAGGGTCAGCAAATTTCGCGCGTTATGATTGGCCAACGGGTTGCAAACTCTTGGTGGTGCACTATTGTGAATCGCCCGTATTGGATAAAGCATGCAAGTAACCACAATAAGTTCATAGTGGCGCGTGTGTTACTTGCTGGAGCTACAACTTTTGAACAGGGCCTAATATTCGCTAGTCTCCCAGCGCCCAAACAGGGTTCGCCAATGGCAATGCTTTGATACGGGCAAAGCGTCGGCTGTAATAAAAACATGGCCTAGGCACAATCAAAGTATGGTAATTTATCTCCTCACTAAGTATCAGCATGATCATGTGTCTTTTGGTGATATGTTTAAAATCATTGGTTATCTTGATTAATTTTGCATGAACGAATAAAGTGTAGTGAGAACATTTTTAGCAAAGAGGAAAAAAGAAACAATATCGAACTGATGACCACCGCTTGTGTAACTCATTAAGCGAGTTCGCGCGCCTGACAGAAATTTACCCACAATGCTCTTAGCGTCGTTAGCTGTGACCCCGTGTAACGTGTTTCCTTCACTAAAATCAGTCCTTCCCAGCGCCCTGTTCGGGCGCTGGGCGATGCGAGCGAAGGCCTAAAAGTACCTTAACAGAGCTAAAGAGGGCGCCCACGTGAAAGTGGCTTGAGTCATTCTCTTTCCACCAATATGGAGGAAAATCTACCCGACTTTTCGGCCTGCGCATACCAAGTGCTAAACGTAAGACTTGTGTTAATTTTTAGCAATGCAGATAAGCAATATTAAAAAAAAACTTCCACACCCGTGTATGGGGGCGCTGGTCACTATGCATAAGCCCCTAGTAAAAATGGCCGACCGGTGGCGTGAAAGTGTTTCTTACAGCATGGAACTAGCAGACGGATTAAGAGCTCTTTGTGGTTACATTACACCGAGGCACTGCACTGTTGTCCAAGTATCTGCAGGTAGGAAAACATGGTGTAGGACTGGACAACATAGCCGGATTTGAATACCTCCAAAAACTGTGAGTATACATCAGTTCGTCTTCTGCACAGAGGAATCAACGATTTCATAAAGTGGCGAACCGCAAACGATTGAATGTCGGATGCCACTGTAGGCCTACAACAAAAGCATTCCAACAGTAGCTTGCACACAGTTTGTCATTTTGTAACACGTGGCTGAATAGTCGTGCACGCACGTGTGGATGGCACTTAAGTTAGATTGTAGAGGAAGGAGTGGTTAGACGCAGTTTTGACATTCTAAATTTTAAGAGAGTTGAAGCACAGAATGAGGAAATAGCCAATATTTCCAAAGTGTCAGAATGGTTGGACCAAGTTGGTTGCCGACGTTGCCATTTGTATCGTAGTGCGTTATTTAGTCGAAGGTCTTTATGTAAGTGGTGTTAATTGAGAAATTCAGATGTGGTTTGTGAGAACTGCCTCAGTGGCAGATATCTCATATCCTCTGCCGATTTTCAGAAAAATGTTTAATCCAAATGCATCTTGTGTGATGGAATCATAGCAATAGCTACAATGTCCCTCCCTCTAAGGTACACTGTGCCATTTTCTAATACCGGTGTTTCACAAAAGTATGCATCTGAGGCCGACTTCGGGCGGCTTGTTCTAGTTTGTTCACGAACAGCTCGATTTGTTGTTCGTGGGTCGGTCGCTCGAACGCCGGGAATGTATAACCGGTTATTAGTGCTAGTAGTTATCTGTGGCAAGCAACATGCAACATGGCAGCGTCCTTGTGCATTCTTCGAGAGTTAATGTTGGATAACTGGGCTAATTTCTTTTCCATTTAAAAAATTCATTTCTGTCATGGAACATTATTAATGTTAATTTTGCAAAACTTTCCATTGTCTTCGGCTTTGTAAAGCCATATCGGCACTTTCTGCGGCTGTTCAAAAATCAAATCTCACGAGTTTTTCCGTGTGTTCCTGTAAAACCATGACGAGGAGGTGGTGTGTGATCCTGTTCCGAGAACAGTGTTCTTGAGTCATGTTCCCGCCGTTCGAGCGCGAGAACAAGAACCGTGTCAAGAACAGGCCGCCCGAATTCGACCATTGTGATTAGCTAACGATATGCAGACTCTTGGAGGCGCACTATTATAAATCGCCCGTATTGGTGTCGAATTACGAGTGCACTCTCACCGAACGATGCTTCGTGATGCACTGCAACACTGTGTTGTTAATTCAACACCCCGGGTGTTATCAGGAGACCATACCAGATTGAGGGTGGTAAATTGACACCAGTTTAACACCGCAGTTTTTGTGGTGTACATTCGCAGAATTCAACAGCGTCTGGATCATTTCCTGGAGGGGGACATTCAGTGCGTTCGGCCTCAGTTAATTAAAACGCTGACCGTCAGTAGATTTTTCCTTCACTTATATCTGAGCGGTGGGGGGTTGCACGGGCCTTGAGCGGGGGCCCGTGCATGGCGTGCCCTGTCCCCTTAGCTCCGCCATCGGTCTAGAATATGGAATTGGATCTAGTTTTCGAATGGTTCGGCTTCTCTGTACTGAAGAAATTAAGCCTGAATGGAATGAAGTGATTTCAAGAGCGTTGGCTGTATAGTCCCCGGTGCTTCTTTCCAGAAGGCTTGTTTGTACTGAGAAAGTCAAGACGTCAAAACTGCAGACGAATCCGAAGATCAGACAGTTGTCCTAATGAGGATTGCCAAATTCTTTTCCGACAGTATCAAAGCGATGGGAGGAATCGAAGAGGAAGTCGAACAGATGGCCACACACTAATGACCAATTCATTTCCCCTCGTTAAGATTTAATCATAAGTATGTTGACTGGCCCAAAATGGGCAAGGGCCAGGCTAGTTTCTTGTCGCCGTTCATGTCCCTGTCGAACGTCCGGTAGGGAGAGGGCGGCCTGCCGCGCTCCCCGGCGAAGTTAGCCATGGGCGCCACGCCCACGTGGTTCCTCTTGGAGAACCGCGATGAGGTGGTGATGGCGTAGGTGTTGCTACGGTAACACTTCATAGTGGACATGCAGAACACCTCGCGACAGCCCCTCCGGAAATTCGGGTTGTAGTAGCTGTAGATGATGGGGTTGGAGGCGCTGGAACCGAAGGCTAGCCACACGGTGGCAATGTAAACCTCAGGGCTGGCGGTGTAGTACGAGCTGGCGGCAAACCACAGCTGGGTGACAAAGAAAGGTCCCCACAGTGCGAAGTACACGGCAGAGACGATCATGAGCATTTTCACCGTCTTCACTTTGGTGCGCGGCACGGCGTTGGTAGTCCGTTGCAGGGCCCAACCGGCCCCGATCCCCACGCGCCAAATGTGCCGCACGACCCGCGTGTAGATGACGAATACGATGAGCAAAGGCAATAAATACTCAACGAGCATGACGAAGGCCGAGTACATGATACCACCGGGCGAGTACAAGATATACGTATTGCAGACTGCAACGCCTGAACTCTCGTCCACTTCGAAGAAGTAGAAGGTTGGGCAAGATAAAACTATCGCTAAGAACCAACTGACCAGGATAATCTTCTTGGCCTTTCCGCGCGTGATCTTGAAGCTCAGGGGGTAAAGTATGGTGTAGAATCGGTCCACGCATATACCCACCAGGACCAGGACGGTCACGCTAGGCGCCATATATTGCGTGAATCTCACCACTTTGCACAGCAAGTTGCCCAGGAGCCAAGTCTGGCTGATCACGCGGATCAGGACCACGGGTAGGCAAAAGAGCGCCACCAATAGGTCGGCGAGGGCCAGCGACACCACAAAGTAGTTGGTGGTGCTCTGCAGCCGCCTGCTTCTCCGGACCACCAGGATGACGAGGCAGTTGCCGAAGACCGCCATCAGCCACATTATAGCGGCTGTCAGCATCTGCAGGGCAATCTGCCACGTCTCCTGCTCGTTTGGGTCAGTCGGTCTAGTTGGTCCCATTGTCGATGCCACGTGAGTTGAGTCTGTAGGTAACATTACGAAGCTAATTACAAGTGCAGATTTGCTCTTATCCACAGTTACCTACTTGCGTCACATGTTACAGAAGAGGGGTAGCGTATGTAAGATGCGCCCGTCCTGACGCAAAGCCATTGACATTTACATTAATTACCGAGTTGCCATAAAGACGATTGTGGTTTGGGTTTGCCCAATATGATTGGGCAGTTAATTCACGCGGGGGCGCTATACGCCTTTGAAGAAATGTCCTTTGAAAGATGTCTAGTAAACTGATTGGCTCCTGTCAGACGGTTTTTGCCAGTCTTGAATTGGCCGTTGCCAGTCCGAGCTCAGTCGCTCTTTAATTGGCCAAGGTGCTCTTGAATCCGGCGGCGTTTCTCTGCCCGCAATGCAGGGCTTGAATCCCTCACTCAACTCCGGAACATGCTGGAGATACTGGTTGGTTTGTTGGTGAATCACTCAGGGTAGGGAGGAAGTAGACGTACACTAACATCCTGTCGAGTGAAGGGTCCTGAAACAGAATAGAGTAAGAAGTGGATAAGTCAGGTTAATAAGGATATAATGCCTGGTCTGGTTGCTCGAATCATCGACATATCCAAGCATCAGTCAACTTTTCACACACGCTAGATACTTCGCTGGTCGCGCAGCGCCTGTTGGGAAGGGCTGATGGCTTTGCACTGTCATTGGCTACATCGCGCACGACATGTGACCGCGAGGTTATCACTTCCTGTTAGCGGTTGTTATTTAAATTTTTCTGGTTCGCCAATGGTAATGCTTTAGAACGGGCAAAGTACTGGATTATGATAAAGCAAGACCTTGGTACAATCACAGTGTGGTAATTTATCTTCTCACTGAGTATCACCGATCACGTGTCTTTTGGCAAAATATTTCAAATCATTGGTTTCTTGATCAATTTTGGATGATCGAATAAAGTGTAATGAGAAGATTTTCAGTAACGAGGAAGAAAAAATATCGAATTTATGACCACCGCTTGTGTGACGCATTGAGCGAGCTCGCGCACCTGGCAGAAATTTATCCACAATGCTCTGCGCGTCGTCAGCTGTGACCCCTTCTGACGTATTTCCTTCACTAAAATCTGTACAAGGTCAACCTCGACGTAATGGGCTGCGTGTGCATTCCTTCATTAGCCCCTGGTTGTGTAGAATACAAAAATGACGCTGGCTGACTATTCAGGATGAATCATACGGTACATATCGTGAAGTAAATCGCAAGCGTATTTCAAAAGCTGCACGCTTGCGCTCACGTATTCTCTTGCACGTCACGCACGCGTAAATCTGCGTCACACTGACTATTAGTCCTAATTTAAATATCCAAAATGGTGGGATATTTGATTAAATTATACAATTCCAGGGGTTAGATCACGCAAGGCATGGTGGGAACCAACATGGCTTGGCAAGATCGTACCCATGGGAACGAGGTTGGTGCAAGGCCATTAGCTCTTCGAAGCGCCCTGATCGCGCACTGGGCGACGAGTGAAGCCCGATACCCTCTAATGGTGAGGTACACCAACTATTATAATTGCCTCATGATGGTTTCCGAATCAACATCCGACCCAGTACTTTCACCGATCTTTATTCATGTGGAGAACTTCGACCTTTACAGTGGACAGCCATGTACAGTGGAAGCCACTTTCTATCCTGTTCCCTGAATCTGATGCCGCTCTTTGGCTCCCAGCATGAAGAGTTCACCTGGCATTCGTGTACAACAGCCCCGTGAAAGGACTGTCTATTTAAAAGGATTTTGCGCTGGCTCTTGGGGGTGGTTAAAAATTTACGATCACGATGACTGTTTAGTGAATTCATCACGTGCCAATAGAAAGCGCCGTGTCTGTGATTAGCTTTAGTATAAATTTGCGCATTTTGCTGAGTTCGAAGTGATAGAAATACAGCGAACTGAACGTGACAAATTTGTCCCCCCCCCCAAAAAAAGAGTGCGCTTAGAGTCGTATTACGTTTAGCGTTTACTACCAATCGCGACGAGCAAGCTAAAGGTCGAATAATTTCTGTAACGTACACTGTAAACGCTGGGCACGTTTTTGCTCACGTTGGGTACCAGGTGAAGTGCCCAACTGTAGGGCAAACAGGTTGCTCAACTGCTTTGATTCTCTCCTGAAATACAGGCAAACTTGTCTCATTTTACACGACGGTTGTGGAACATGTTATTTGTACCACCACTTGTTTACCTAGCGTTTCGATCTTTCTGCCCAACAGTTAAGCGATTCACCTGGTGCCCAACGTCGGGCAAAAAAAATACCCAGCGTTTGTACTGTATAACCTTAAGTATATTACGAAGGCTGTGAAGAAGTGCTTAGTTTACTTCGACAAGAATTCTTCAATCCAGCAAGTTCGTGCGCGATTCTTGAAAAAAAAACTGCGTATACATTTATTTTTCCTGCTGTGAGTTAACGTGGGTTGTGACATCGCTGTTAGAGGATTTATGTGAAATCTTTCAGTTGAAAATGGCAGATGCAGTTCTGTCTGCACCGCAACCAACTTACGAGTATACTCCTGTCGAGGTTTCTGCACAGTACAGAAAGATTATGATGATGGTGACGAAAATTCTTGGTAAATTTGGCGTTTTCTCAGACCTCCATATTCCAGAAATGAAAACGAATGCTTATCGAATAAACACGCTATTCACCCCTAACTGCTACGTCATCGAATGGACAGGTTCGCTGGCAAGCCCGTCGGTGATTATGCTGCCTTTCGCCAAAAGACAAGGTATTCTAGACCGGTTGCTACGCAACCTATCTTGTCACGTTGTTGCTAGGGGCTACTGACTACAGTGCGTGATGAGATAGACAAGCACTCTACTCTTACACAAGTGCTTTCTTACCATACACGCCCGCCAACGCGGCACATGAAAACCCCTACTGCCGTTTTGGAAGATTACCCTTCAAGCGCACGTCTCAGTATCTCTCTTCGCCAGCGAGCCATCGAGTTTGATAGAAGACCCGTTTTAAGTAAGATGTTGGGCGCTCTCATAAGATGGCAACACTAAATTGAGCATGTCACTGACACTCACGGTCATTCGTTAATGAGGCAGTCTTGTTTATCATCCACAGGGAAGACAAAGAAACGTCAAATTGAATAGTAATTACCATAAAGTTTGTGCAATGCTGATATGTGGACTACAAAAAAATAAAAAAAATAAAAAAATCGTATGTTGATTGAATAGGGCAGTCAATAAACGCCAACGTACCCATAAATGGTTGGAAGTGCACTTTTGTGGACATCATAATATTTATCTTTAAGTAAACATGAATTCTCAGTTCTGGTTGAACGATCTATGGCGACAAACGGTGTGACATTTAACAATTGTTGACTGCTGTGACGTGGGATATGACGTTTTGAACACCGGAGGGACGCATAGCGCCCCAATGCGAAGCCGAGGACGCTATACTTGCTCGAGGGCATTCAAAACTTCATATCCCACATCACAGCAGTCAACAATTGTTTTGCCATACCTCTGTCTTAATCATGTGCAGGCTGAAGAATTTATCTAAAAAAAACAAGAGCTCCGAATTTCAGAAAGTCCAAAACACGATATATCTATAACTGTTAACACAATAGACGTAAATGATATCGTCTGCGAATGAACTGTTCCCCCACTTTCTTCAACTGCGTAAACTTTAATGTGAAAGTAGTTAGGGTACTAGTGAACACAAGTTCACATGTCATGTACCTTACAGGCTTCAGGGACAGGAACAAGCCTGTTGCACGGGCACGACCATTGATCGAATTCCCTGGTAGCCTATGCACAAAACGTGTCATGGGTACCACGCAAAACTGACTAAATAAACGACAACGATCGCTCTCGAACTTCCTGAAGTTCTTCTGTTTCCTGCGCGTGCATGCTATCGGCAGAATGACATGTCTGACGGTGCGTGTGATATGTGGATATATCGCCCTGTCATGTGACCGTTCTGGGCCAATGAACAGACAGTATCCAAGACAGAGGTATAATACATAACTGTATTGCACAGTTCATACCAAAGCCCGTGTAATAATGCGCTTTTTCAACCGGTACCGAGATATGGGACACTGTGCTCAACTCGCACTCGTGTGATTACTTGTGTGATAAAGGCATTTTTCTCGCCGCAGAAATTTTTTGCCCCTAATTTAAGCTCAAACGTCCAGACTTGTCAGTCCCTCTTCTATACAGCCTGTTAAATATAAAACTATGGAGGTTAAAGGATACGATGTATCTCTTGAAAGGTTAGGCATCTTCTTAGCTCCAGTGGACCTTCATTAGCTGCCATGTACTAAACTAAGAACAAAACACCCAAACACGGCAGATCTGGACAAGGCCAACTCCAAAACGTCTGCACGACAGTGATACTTAAAGGTGCTGTCGCCCGCGTGCCTTTTTTTCTGCGTGAAATTAGGCCTACATCATTGTACTGCTCAAGAATATGGAAATTCGTATTAGCAAGAAACCACGAAGATCTGGAAACCCCTTTTTTATTTCAAGGATTTCCTCGCCATCTTTGATTTACAAAGGCCCTCCTGTTTACATGACAGCTTACATTTTCATTGCTTCCGCTGCATGCCGCGCGCACAACTCTTGTGATTATTGTTAGAGGGCCCAAATATGTCAGCGTTCTTCTCATTAGACACGGACCAACGCGACGTGGAATCATACAGAATACTCTGCCAGGATCGAACACAGGCGACCTCACCCTACCCCCCCTTCCCTGTTCAAATGAGAAGCATCTTACGGATAACAGCTTTCCATGTCAAAGCAATTAACTGCACGTAACGAGCAAACTGTTCGGTCGCATTACATAGGCAAAAAAAAAGGGAATAAACCCTACAAACATCCCTCCAGGTGAAGTGTAATTTAATGGGTTGGATTTACTTGAAGGGTCATTTTGACATCCGTTTTGTGAAAAATCGGATATACCGTCCTCGCACAGATCTCATTTTATTCGAGATTGGTGATTTTATTCGGGCGCCGCGGAAATCACGAAAAACTCCTGTAGTTTTGAAAAGGACTTGGCGGTCTATGCGTTTATATGTCTGTGGCACAACCGCAGAAAAGGACCTTTTGGTCTGCCGCCACAGTTTCCCATTATGCAGTGTTATATTTCAAAAGATTGGGAGTGGGACGGCCGAGTCCCCCCCCCCCCGCTGTAGGATTGTTCGTTTAAACAAAATGCTTTTGGGTGGTTTACGTGCAAACTTCGTTATAGCAGCGAGAAACAATTTTTGTGTTTTTCACCAAAGCATACTTTCTTTACAGGCTGCCTTTTCATCTCTAGCGAGATGACTTTCTCCGTTCTACCTTGCTGGGCACTAAAGAATACTGCCTCAGTTTCGGATTGAGTTAATGGTAGTTCCTTGTGTACGCCTACCTCAATTCGCCATGTTTTCAGTTGTAGACCTACGCTTAATTTGTCACCCATCCTTCCAAATCTGGGCTAAGGAAGGCCAGGTCCAGTAATTTGTTTGTGTGTTTCGTAGTTTAATTGTTCAAAACGACTAGTTTCATGCTGAATTTGAAATGATTAACGAGAACAAACTGGAGTGAGCGCCTGGAAAGTAATACGTGCCACGCGTGCTTTGACAAGCCCTTGCATGTAAAGCCGTTTTGACTAATTATGTTTCAGTACAGATGTTTCCTTATTGCATTTAACAACTGCACGCTCATTAATCACATCAAGGACGCGCGATCTCGTGCGACGCCGTTTTGCGCTGATGCAAAATGGCCATTAACTTGTTTACTTGGTGCGTTACTAAGAAACGAAACGCACGCGGGCCTCAAATTTGGAGTGACAATTTTGGAGCAGGAATGTTTACCGTATCCGCCCCACAGACGTATAAACACATAGACGTGCAGCTCCTATTCCAAACAACAGCGGGGTACCGTAGCCGAGACAGCACCCGACTGAATCCAAAGGCGTGGTCAAATTCACCCCTTGGTATAGGGAATTTACGCACAGTGGACAGATTCTAGCCATAAAATTCTAATAAGCCATTTTTCGATTGTGAAAAAGTCCTCTGTTTACTTAATCCGGCTCATGCAGATTCGAAACCATACGGTTGCAACATTTGAAAAGAAGAAAAAGCAGTACCAAAGAGTAACAAAAAGGGAAGGTATTTTGAGAGCACATATAAACGAATGCATACAATCTAAGTGTGCGTCGTGCGCAATTCACACTGAACGCGCTGTCGTCCATTGTTTCGCCCACTGCTCGCCCACGCTTTTTAAAATCACAGTTATACGCGCAAGACTGGTGGTCTATGTGTTTACATGTCTGTGATCTGCCCCGAGCTGAAGTGCATCCCCAGTCGGCGAAAAGAAAGACAGGTGGTTACAAGCGGGATCTTGCACGCGTTCTGCGTGTACGCAAAGACAATAGAGTACCGAATTGAATACGTCACGCGCACAATTAGTGTGTAAAAGGCATTAGCGCGAGAACCAGCGCGTGAACCAACACGCGCGCGTACTCCATTCGTTTGCACTGCACTTTCTTGTTCACAGTGACGTCACACTTCGGTACTCTTTACATGCCGGTGTAAATTAGTTACACGTACTCGGCGTGTTCCCCATCAAACGCGTATACTTGCGCGCCTCATGGCGCACCTATGCGGTGAGTACCAAAAACACACGCCCTCTTTTGTTCCGTTCGGAGCGGATAGAGTGGGCTTACGTCAACGTTAAAAACGGGAAGTTACTTCCTGGTTTCATCCGTGATGGACCCATTCAACTTATTTGGTCATAGACCGGTGAGAATGTGCATTTGTGTTTTCACATTTTTTCGTGTCATTTTGCGTCCGGCCAGAAATTACATATTAGGCATTTCATAATGGGGGTAATGCATATATAAGTATTCGGTACGGTTATAATGACGGTCTCCCGTAGTTTGCCAACCGCGGCCAATGAAATGTCTACACCAGCGATCACGTGCAAGATGGTGCTCAGTTATTCACTCAATATCGGCGTTTTCTGTAATTTTCCCGTTGAAAGGGTGCGTGTGAATTTTGGAGCCAGTCACTCCGCACGTCATGAGCCCCGAGCTGGACCAAGAGAGGGCGCAACTTTCCTAGCAACGTACGCTCCTTTGGTCGGACCAGCACTTCGCTGGTTCACCAAAGACTATGCACGCCTTACGGGCGAGTTGCTACCAGCAAAATGACCATTCCCCACAAAGACAGCCACGTGCAAACACCCGTACATCTTCCTTTTCATTTGTTGCAAGGGCACTTTATCAGAACGTCCGTGGTCAAAATTGCGTAATCTTTTTCTATTTCATAATACGAAAAATCGCAGGCAATGTTTTTGTCAGGGAGAACGCGCTTGCATATCTCGACATAGGTAATAACCGGAAAATTAATGCAAAAAAAAAACAAAGGCTGCCATGTCAAAGATGTACCAAGGTCAATCATTTTCCACGTATACCTTTTTGCTTGCCCACTCCAAGGCAATGTCACCTCCTAATTTCCTTACCCTGGCGTCAGGGGTCTGCTCAAAGCACATTTAATTACATTGTTCAGTCCACTTCAGGTTACCAACGAAAAAGCTGATAAGACGGTCATGGGCCTCGAATCGCCCGGAGTTAAACAAACATCCCCGGGGCCAATTTATCACACTTACTTTGTTCGGTTATTAATGGATAAAGCAGCCTGAAAGTCATTGCATGAGTTTCACCTCGTAAAAGTTAAAAAAAAGGCACTTTAATGGCTATGCACACTGCATGTGCCGAAGCCAAAAAAAGATAAAGATGTCTGACTAATTACATCAACCCCCTTCTCAACCCCATAGTAGTGGCCGAGTGTTGCACCTCTGTTAGATTAAAATGGCAGAGAAAACCAAAAGATTTTGTCCATCTATCGTTCCTTACGTAAAAAATTGCTTAATTTTAATGTCGAATCGGTATCTTGCAGTTCAGACATGTTACACTTTATTCGAATCCTGTGAATATCTCATTTAAAGTTCAAGAAGGGCAGTTGCTGTTAGTTATATCCCGCGTCAAGTCAACCATCTTGATGTCCGATGTAAATCATCTATACCAAGAAGAATATACCGCAATATTTTCTCAAAGCTATATTTTCAGATACAATTATATCAAATATGCCTTTATAGAGTTCTTCAACAACAGGTTTAAAGAATCTTTTGATGAGAACACTTTTACTTCATTTCTCACGGTATTTGTGCAAGTAAAAACCTTCTGGGTAATTCCAGAAATTAGGGGTCCAAGAGTGTGACTTTTGTGTCCCTGTTACATCTGACCTTTATTAATTGACATGGAAATATTCCGGGGATTGGTTTCAAGCTATTACTGTTTGTTTGGGCAGGTAATTTGCATCAATTCATCACTCTTTGAAATTAGACATTGTGTTCTGAACTTACAAAATCATATGTCGGAGGTGACAGGGACACGAAAAAATGGGCCCCTAATTTGTGGAATTACCCTTATGGCCCGCGGCGGAGGCGAGAAATGTACAACATGTATCAGGCAAATACTTAGCAGTCTTTTATAAGTACCATGGTAAGAAATCAAATATACTGAGACAAAAGCAAACAAAGCCATCGCAGATCCACAGATAGCGACGAGAGAGGAAAAAATGCAAATGAGTCCACTATCTCAATATTGCCAGAGGTTATGAATAGTAATGATATGAAACAATGATCGCGCACAGCAGCCAGGCATGATGCGTGGATATCCACATTAATATCTCCACCCCAAGGGCACGAGACAGAACCATTAGGCTATCCGAACACAAGTCCCCTGAATAGGGTGAGGAAGCAGCGAATCAAATATCATTAGATTGAAATCGGCGTGCAGAATCGATCGGCGACAACAGATCATACCTCCCTCGATATTTGGCGCAGTGGGTCCGCCCCTTGATAGACATGTTATTGGGAAATGATACACATTTGCGTCAATAGGGAGACTGGTTTTAATGTATTCTGACGAGCAGCAAAAACAAAATTATCCCCACCAATACTTCACTGATATTCAGTATCCATTTTTTAACATACATATTGCTGAACGGTTATTTTCTTGGGAAATATTTTTTTCTCTGCAGCGTAGCCGACAGCTGCATCCTGACTCGGTTTGATGTCGGTCGTATACAGGAAGCCTATACGTTCATTCTCTCTAGCCACATGCAGCAGGAATACGAAATATTACGCAAACCTACTTAAGCGGTGCAAACGGGCGTTACGGAAAACGCTTTGAACGCAACGTTGAAAACCGTCACAGCGTAGCATTAATTTGATGCATTGCTGAAGTCTCTGAAGACTCTATAGCATCCGTATCATGAACCAAACACTTCAACTTCGGAAAAAACAAACGTTTTTCGGCTCTTTCGTCGATAACACCTTTAGCAACCAATGCTTTCTTTTTAGATGCTTTTTAGATATAAAAAAATCCTTACGAAATTCTACTCATAAACAATTTTTAATTTCGTCAGCCAACTTATGCACATATTAAGGGGGTTTCATAACAGTAAAAGTGCTTCAGCAAATTTAGTATTGTTGCTGATTTTTACGGTCGTATGGCTGGTGGGCCTTATTTATTTTGAACTGTTTTCGTACCAACAAATGTTTTCGGTTTTACATTTTCATCTTTATTCTTTTAGAGTGGGCAGAGATGGTGTACGGAGTATTGATTAAATATCTCACGTTTTGCGATCTGTCAGAGCATTTCTGTCATACATTATTTGCAAGGTTTTGTGATGTATGGCTCAAGGAAAATAATTTGTCCCACTATGTTAGGCACAAGTCATGTTGCAAATAAAAATCCAACATTAAATTTTTGCCACTACTGAAAACTGGAAACAAGCTAACAATGACTGTATGACAAAAAAACCACCTGAGTATTAATGTGACCCCTTCTGAAAATTACTCCGTTATATCCGAGTTGGGGCTACATTTCCTTATACGAAGGGAAGTGTTATTCGTTTAATTTTCATTGCTTGGTCAGATTTTGCTAATTTCATAGTTGATACATAATTTCATATCTTTCCACCCATGTCTGGATTTAGTACCATTTACGAACCTGTCAACATTCGAAATAATCGGTCATACCTAAAATTGACCTGATTTGGGGTGCGACCCAGCTTATGCCGAAGTTGAAAAAAAAACCAAATAATATAAACTTGTTTTGCATTTAGAAATGAGCTTGAAACACATTGAAAACACAGGTGGCGTGATACGAAAATTACCGATTCGGAGGAAGGTTCCGCGACGTCTGTGACGCCCAGAGAGGGGAGGAGGACTCGTATAGCATCCCAGTCTCTTTGCCGTCGACCACTCAGCAAATTACTGTGTTCTGCGGCAGGGGAGTGTATGGCGCCGTCCAAGTGCCTCACGCCTTCTCTGGGCTGCCCGAAGATGCCGACATTTCCCCCTGACATTCCGGAGCCATCATCTCTCACGACACGGGAGCCAGTGCCCGGCACGGGGGAACAAGGCAACGCATGTCACCGCTCACACAAAGCGTTTGTTTGTCGAGCCATCATCATCCGCGCTGACAACTCGCATTTTGCGATCTTGGTAGTGCAATGGCGACAGACATCGTGTCACTGGGGGGGGGAGCGTTGTTGATGTCAGCGTTGTTGACAGAGAACTCGTGGGCGGCTACAACGCTCGCGGCTGGCTGGCCGGCCGCGACGTAGTAAGATCGCTTGTCCGTCACAACCACGGGCGGACGGGGCGAGTGAGCTGTAGCGATCGTGTTATGAGCTCGCCTCGTCCGCTCATCTTTTTCCTCATTAACATAATTGTCTGAACTCCACGGCTGAAATACCGCGCGTTTGCCAATTATGATCGGTATTGTTTGCATTTTTTATGTCGTCAGCGACAGGCCATCAATGCTATTGTGTCCACAGTGTTATCGTGACGATAGCACACACAGAGTGAAGCTTTCCTGATTGTCTCAGCAATGAAAAAAAATGTCCAAATCATGGCCAAAGTTTACAAAAATGAGCAATCCTTGGACATTAGACAGAATCACATCACTTGTAGTACCTGTTTTTAAAATTTTAAATTTGCGTGTAATTCAGCCAGCTGAGTGATTTATTTTATAGTGTTTATAATATTCTTATATATTTTACAGTTGCTCAGGCCTATTTAATACAAAGTGTGTATTACAAGGTTTATATTAGCTAATAAAATCGTACCTCTAAACATTACATAACTAAGGCAAATTGATTAAAAATAAAATTCACGCAACCTAAAGCACCATTCATAAACTCCTATATATTGTGATCAATTTTATCAGGGCCAAAATTTTTCCCAATGGTCTTGAGCGGACAGTTTCAGTCTTGTCTTTTTCTGGTGTTCATTGCCGAAATAGAGAGGCCTTTAGTTATGATATTCTCGAAAAAGAGGAGTGAGCTATACATTAGATACACATAACGGGCTCCGGCGCAGCCATGTGTAGTTAAACAGGTACCGTATAATAGCTAAATTCTAAAAAAAAAAAATAGTATGTTGAAGTTCATGCAGAGGGCGCTTTGAGGACGCCCGTAAGGCGCTTGGGACGAGCTCAATTAGCCATTTGCGAGTAATATTTGAATAACTTCTGGTACACTGAGTTCTCCAAATTCACGTGAACATAATAAATTGAATTCTCCACACTGAAGACACAGTTGCTATACCGTGATTCGGGGCAAGCTGTTGCTTAGTTACATAAGAGACGCCTTGCAACAATGCACTGTTCTCAATGGATATGAATGGCATAAAGGAACCAGTCCATTCGAGAGATGGTGGTTGCTATGCGAAAGCTTGCCCCGAATCACGAGGTTTAGCAACAGTGACTTAAGTCTGGGGTATTCAAATTGTTTTGGGGAAATAAGATAGCGAAATTTATTTTATTCAAATTTATCTTGCAAAAGGCTTATTCGCACCAGGCCAGTATGCAGGATTGTTGACAATTGCTTTTTGTGTGGATTGAGTTCATGTTGATTTAAAAAAGCCCGGGTCAACACTTCCGCATATGCATAACGCAATTCTAGCGCACCGTCTGAATTGTACAAGCATGGATTAGGACTCTCTTTAGGAAAATGGCTTTATTGTCAGTCTTGAGGGTAGACTAGTCTTCACGCCTTGTGAAAGCTTCCCAGTTGGAATGTCAGACTTGATAGTTCAGTTTAAAAAATCCTCCAGAGCTACGATTCCAGCCTTTACTCAAGCCGGTTTCCCCGACGCGTTGCAAAAAAACATTACAGCCCAGCAGTGCGCCACTTGTCTTTAACTATGACGTATTTCTTCCACAATATTTTGAATGAGGCACAAGACGAGCTAGGGCGAGGCAGAGGCGCTTCCAGTAACGGTTTGATACAGTACTTTCCAGTTTCATGGCAGAATACTGATCTTTTCTATACTAAAAAAAAAAAATCTGGAGTCACATTGACCCGAAATCTGGGCTCAATGGGGCCAAAACCTTTTACGAGTCAAGATAACCCGAAATTATACTGCTTTGATTCGACAAAGCTATTTCGACCTGGAACAAGTGGTTTGACCCCACTCGGCCCGGATCGATATCGGGTCAGTCTGACCTTAGAGTAGAGTGTTTGGATGAATCTTGTATGTACAAGGTGCATGGAACCATCTAACGGGTCGGCATGTTTGGACCGAAAACTCCCATTTGGGAGCTTCTTAATCTTAGGCCGTGTCCGAAACGGGCTTCCAGAGCTACGGCTACTGCAGGTCTAAATGCCTGCGCGTCCCCGTGTATTTCCAATGGAGTGAAGACTTAGACCTAGTTCTAGACAACAGATTCGGATGTAGCCTTAGATAAGGTAACCCTCATTGTCATGATGACCGATGTGCGCCGTGTATCTCAAATTAGACGGGCATTGGCCGATACCCCGGTCTGAAAAATAGCATGGAACCCACAACATGTGGTTTCTGGTCTTGCCTTGTTGCGAAGTAGCAGCTGCCCATGCGCTTTCCTGTAGCTCAGCGAGAGACGTCTAAGAATGGTCAAGGGGGGAATCTGTCTGCGTGTACCCGACGTGTTCACACGAAACGAAGGTGCATCGATCGATAAATGCAGTGGGCTCCCCGTGGTTGTTTGTCAAATCTTGTATGTCAGTTGGGATTCTTTTGACACGGGATCCTTCGGAAATTTACAGAATATTTACCAATGATACACATTTGTGCAAAAGTTTCAATTCCCGTTTGTCACTGTTTCAGGGGGGGCAGTAAGACGACCTTAAGATGACGTATCACCTTGAAATGCTCAAACATGTCTCCGTTTTGAAGATGTCCCATTGCTCCACTGCAAAACTAAACCGTTTCTCCGGCTATTTTTCATGTAATTATCTCATCTGCTTTGACTCAAAAAGATTTACCAGCCCCATAGCACAAAAAAATCCTCCAAGAAATTAATTGCAAACTGTGCTTTGATCTGCATGAGCAATTCCGAATCCATAAAATACCTTGCCCAGGGTGGGTCGACTCGGGGTCATATATATACACAGGTACATACATGTAGATCGTTTCACTGAGCCTGAATGGGCGAGACGTGTAGGCCTTTCCCTCACATCGAAGTCATTGTCATGGTGTTTCGGGTTATTTCATTTCGCAAGTTGACCCAACTATTGGATAGTAAGCGGGGTTCCTGGGGAAATTCCCTCCCTTTGGTACATTGTCACTTGTATGCCATGTTTTCAATTGTGTATACCTTGCTTGTTTCACACTTTGAACTGTCGTTTTGTCTGATTTCTTTATAGTTGAAAGGTCTTCAGAAAATCCCTTGAAAACTTCCTCTTTTAAACTATTAGATAGCAGGCTTTCAAACAACGATGTGCAATGAAAAAACGTCCTTGAGTCCGTTGCGATTGCAAATGCTTTTTCTGTAAATACTGTTGTTTGTTGAACGCGATTCCAATGAGCTGGCGTCATGGCCAGAATAGTTCCCTCGGCCCTATTCACACGTTTTCTAATGGCCCTGCTATGCCCCTGCCATCAGTACTAATTTGCATATAGCGCTGGTATAGGCGCACTGGATCGCTTCGCCTAGTGCATGGGTCCTTGTTGTATGCAACTAATTACAATATTCTGTACTCTGTACCAAAAAAACTTTCCCAATATTTAAGATTCAGACCTAGAGAGAGAGAAAGGCGCCCAAACCCGACGTCTTCCCTGCGTGTGCATAGATGTTGGCGTGGATGTTGTGCATAGATTACGGCACGCTCAAGTTTTTTCAAAGGCTCTTAAATTCTTCGTGACCCGTGGCACCCCTCCCCATTTCTTCATTGACTTGACGACGCCCAGTGACCACTGTGCTGGTCCTGGCTACCCCTCCGCTTGTTTGTGGGGTGCGCTTTGCCCGAGGGAAGGGGGTTTGCATGTCTTCACGTGGACATCTGAGAATTTTTGAAATATAGGCGGTGTAATGCGATTTTTTAAACACTTTTGCAAAGATTTCTTTTGTGTACAACAAACTTGACCACCCTTTTCTGAGAGTGGCCAAAGTGCGCAGAAAGTGCATCCTTGTTTGGCATACGTTTTCTTTCATAAAATGCTGTTGCTTCATTAAGGTCGATATTTCAATTTAATTAATAATAAGTGTCTTATTGTTTCAGAATTAGACCAACGGCTCACGGTGTAAGGGATAGCGGGCGTGGGGTTCATGACACTGGACACGCCGTGGAAAGTAGCCTCGTTTGCACCTGACCGACTTTGTGCCTCATATCGTCCCCAGGGGATTGTGCAATAAGGGGATTTTTGGTGGGTCCCAAAATAAAGAAGGTGTAATGTCCGTAACGCGTAAATTCCCAAAATGCATAACAGGTATAAAAGAACTTGAATTCATAAAAATCACCATTGAAAAAATGTCAGTGTATGACTTTTCCCGAGTCGAATGACTATCATTATTGTCGTAAGCCAGTTCTGCATTTCATTCGTTTCACGACACACCGCGCGATCAGACGACAGGACCGGCAGGTTGGTTCCTCCTGTTTTCATGTCGTAAATGCAACTTGCGGTTATTTTCTCTTTGCAAATAAAGAGTAATTAATGAGACGTGAGCCCCATTCTTTTGCTCTTGAAATGCAGATGTTGACTATACGGTGACACTTTAGAGATAAATAAAACCTTTTGCTGTATTCTGTGACTGCCTCTCCGAGTAATGACATTGTGATAATGATGAGAGGTGCAATTTAACTGCAGACTTTCTGAACGAATTCGTGTGTTGTAGACGGATCATTACATAATGTTAAAAAATAGACTGAACATATTCGCTTAATGTGGCTAACCAGCATCTTAATGTTAGTACTTATAATTATTGTATTCCCAAATATTGATAAGTATCTATATTGTAAGAAAACAATTTTGAGTTGATGGATCATTAGCAAAACTTTTCACCCTGTTTATTAGTTATGGTTATCCGAACAACCTATACTGGTCTGCTGGCATGTCATTTTACTCGCCACGCAAAGTCAAGTACTTCTGAAAGCTGCCTTTGAAAGTAAAACCTGGGATTCAGCATGAAAAAAAGGCAACGGGTCTTCAAAGTGTTGCCACTGTTTATCTCTGTAGGATCTTTTGACCACTGATAAATGGTTTGGGATGTTTAGTTCTTGGTTGTTTAAAGGTTTAGGTTTTGGGTTTAGGGGATTTCATTTGGTTTGGATTGAATTGGTTTGTTTTTCTTTGGGCTTGGTTTGTTGTGGTTTGGTCTAGTTTGGTCTAAATTTAGCCTCTTTAGGGCAAAGAGGAAGTGTCATCTTTAGCTCCAGATCTACTTTGAATTAGTCAAGACGTTTGAGCGGTGGCAGTGTTTGATGTTTTCCTCCGTCTAGTGGTCTAAGGTCTAAATAGCCTTTACTCAAGGCGATCTTTGCGACCACAGGATGCAAGCTTACGCGAGACACGACGAGCGAACGATTTGGTTCAGCACTGGCCGCCAAGAACATTGTTTTTCGGGGTAAATGCCTTTTTAAATTTTCTGCCACGACTTTTGGGAGGAAAATTGATATTAATGAGAGAGATGATGCTTCTGTGTCTCGAGCAATAAGTGACTGAAATACCTAACTGGCCGATCAGTATTACAGGCAAGCAGCTCTTGAAGTCGCACCACACTGTTGTGCTAGTGGAGATAGGGTTTCAGCTGGCCAGTAAATAAACTGCCATATAGCCAACAGCCGAACTTCAACAAGTCAGGAAAAATACTCACGAGTTTCTCGGGCGTTTGAGACGCACGTCAAATTAAAGCCCGGTTTATGATTTTTCATTTTCTTTTCAAATTTCCATTCATTAACCCATGACTTCTGAAGATTTTTTTTCCACGGAAGGTCACTCTTAAAAATGCACTCTTGAGCCCCTCGCCATTTTGAAATATCGATGCCTACACTTCTCAAAAAATAGACCGTTTTCAGGCACCGATTTCTTCCAAATCTCACTCATAGGCAAGCTGATATTCTTTTTACCCGCCTAAACCTGTCTTTCTACAAATCTTCAAGTTCATGGGCCACAAAATGCTTTATTTCGTAGAGAATTTGAGTGCATTCGAATTGTGATTTGGCCCGCGCAAGCAGTTTTCGGCCTATTTACTGGCCTGCATCCATAGGGCTTCTCATCACATGTAGGTTGACTCATCGGCAAAATTAGACCGACGGGAGAAGTTAACCTTGAGGAATAGCCGCCAAGTGTAGCCTACGACACAGGGAAGTTATATTGATATCACTTCGTAGGCCGAATCGCCCCCAAACCGGCTATTCCCCTTTCCGTCCAAAGAAGACATATTAGGCCAAAAAAGGGGGTTGGCCCAAAACTAGGTTCGTATGTTTCGAAATTTATCTACGCCAATCCCCGCCCCACCAAAAAAATCCATTCAAGTACCGAAATAGCAGAACTGGAATTCCCGCATGTAACCTTTCAATGCGTGATGTCACAGCTGAGAGTCCTGAAGTTCGCTTCATTTTATTCCGTGCTTCATTTTACCTCTTAACTCTCCGTTACGCGGGATCCGTCGCGCACGACTTTGGAAGTCGCTACCTTCGGACTTGCAGGTTGGTATTTTTTAAAATCTCCCCAAAGTTTCAAATGTCCCTGCACCTGTTTCCTTTTCAAGAAAATTATAATGTATAATGATCAGAGAGACAGGGCAATACTTTCTGAGGGCAAAAGAGCGAAAAACTTTCTCTCCAAAAGAGTGAGTTCCTCAGAAAACCACATTGCCTCCAAAAGAATGAACATCATTCAAAACAGGAGCCGTTTAAAGGTGTGGTTCCTTAGAAAAATGGAAGCTTCACTCTTTTGGAGTGGTTTTGCTCTTTTTAGATTGGTTTTCACTCTTTTGGAGTGGTTTTATCAGGAACGCACTCTGTTTGAGAGCGAGATTTTCCCTCTTTTGCATTTAGAGAGTATTTATTTTCACGCTTAGGACCTATTTGGACTAACTTTGTGTTCCTAAATATTGATTTATCAAAATTGGTTGTAAGAAATGGATCAACACCAACATAATTTTCGTGTTTTTGCCCAGTGTAGATGTTAGGGGTATCACAATTGGACATTATTGTCATAAATCCAAACGATTCGTACCGACTGGTCTATTGGCAGTTTATTCACCTTGCAAAGTCAAGACTTATGTTGCATTCGTTAAAAGTGGAAGTAGAAATTTATTGTGTTGGACCGACAAAAATAAGGTGTTGGTTCAAATAGATTACCACAGTGGCGAAAGCAAGGCAAGCGACGACACGTTACCCAACTTGTGCATTCCGCTCACCCCGGTTATTTTGCAGGCGAGTATACACACGACGAAGTTGAACGCAAAAAAACCACACAAGCCAGGATGGCTTGGAAAAAGACGCTGTTCGTGTCGCTGCTGCTCGTGGTCCTACTGTGTACCTTTGATCAGGCAGGTTGGTAAAATTTAGACTTTATCTTCCTTTGCATTCATAATGTGCTTTTCATTTCCCCCAACGCTATTTGAAGGTTAATATTTTTCTGACTGCTGCTAAAATGTTTCTGTGGTGCAAATAATGCGAGTTAGAAACAGCAAAAATGTGGAATGATTTCTTATAATTATCTTTGAGGCAAATTTGCAAGTTATTAACAAGTGATCAGTTTTGTTGTTGAAATAGCATCTACCTTGTCTTTCCTCGTTGTTTATTTGTTGTAATAACATGATACACAGCAGGAACTTTCATATGCAGCAAGGTATGAGACGGAGAGAACCCCCCCTGCTTTGTGTTGGTCATTGTCTCGCAGGAATCTGGGGCATTCCTTTCAGGCATCTTGGGGGGATGTGTTAAGTAACAATAGTCTGGAATGTGTCTAGGTATTGGACATGTTGGGGGGGTACCACTCGGTCTCATTTCTTGCTGGGTATAGGAACTTTAGTGGGCCTGTATTTTGCACTGCCGTCTCCTTGTCAACCAGAATGGGTGCATTTTTCATTGTACGTTCTTCCTGGTTGCGACACAGGACTTGGGTGTCCCCTTTTTCTTTCATGGTTTTTGCAGGGTACCCTTTGATTATCCAAATCCAAATGATTTAGATGAATTTAGTTGCTTCTATTGTTGTGCGAGCCTGGCTAATTGGATGTGCCGACGACAGTTACATGTCAAAAAAGTTGAGAAGGCCTCTAAGTTGTTACCGCACAGATCAAGAAGGAATGCCCACCTTATGAAATATAGTCGGAAAGGTATTATCTTGTGAATAAAGAGCTGCACAGGTTTTTACAGCTGCATGGGAGGGAATGGCTGAGTGTAAATTCAAATACGTCCATTTGAGGCCCCCAATACACAGGCAAGTATTACGCCCTAGTGGTGCCTATGTCTTACACAGGTTTGGATAGGCTGAATTCTTTTATATAAACAGCAACATTCATTTCTGTGTTACGGAAAATAATTAATGTAAATTTTGCAAAAATTCCCATTATTAATCCCTGGTAACGACACCAAGTCCTCAAAGCAGCCAAGGCACTGTAGCTCGTAAGTCTGCCAGTGAAGAAACGTGAGTTGTGCGCCAAACAAAGTCACCGTTTTTATAGGCCCTCAATTTTTCTCTGCATTGCTGTGCCGAGGCAAGCTCGTGCCATGCAAGCTCAACTTAACTGTAGTTACTTATTTTACCTATTCGCTCTCATTCGGCGCAACTAATTTGAAAGGACTTGTGTTTTTCCGGCAAGATACTAGGGCGTCGTCTTGATTATGGGAGTGTATTTTTTTTTCAAGGAAAATTCACCCACAAGTCATCAAATTTGCCCCCACCGATTTTTTTTTTAAATTCAGGAGATTGCTGATGCAGCAAGCTTTAATTTGATGGGTATGTCCTCATTTTTCATTTTTTTTCCCGAAGATGACACTGTCATCAAACAAGGGTGGATCCAAAATTGAAAACTAAATTTGTGGGGGATGGGCAAAATTGTTTTTTGAGAGCCAAGAATTTGAAACTTTGCATGTACGCCTTTATAGCCTCTCTGAGGGGCGAGGCTACCTTTGGGGGCTTTATATACACTTTTGACACTTTCAAAAGGACGGGACATAAAAAAACCCCAAATCCCCCTTTTTTTCACAGCAGAAAACCTGGCGCCGGGCCCGTTTTCTTTTGGTCGAGGCCATGCCGCCTCCCGCGCCGCGCGCGCCCCCACCTGCCACGGTACGGAAAGGACAGTCTGTCCACATGAGTTTGCAACATGAAGGACGGAGGACCATTAAGCCAGTAATTTTGAAATCTTTCACTAAAAATGCTCCCGTCCCTGGCCGGGTGTTTCTTTGTCGTTTAAGATGCATTTTGGTGGGGCCGAAGAAGAAGACGAAGATCACCTCCACCACCACGTAAGTAAGATTAAGAGTCTTTTTCAGCCGATCAGTCAGTTTGTTGTGTGCATGAGTGAATAAGAACTGAACACAGGACCTGAACTCACTGCAAACTAGCCCCACAAATAGGGCTGTAGTGTGGCTCGCTTTTACAGTCTGTCTCTTATCTGTCGCCACCACAGCCCTACTTCAAGGCATGTCTTAAATGCCTGAAATCCAAACTGCAGGATTGTCACAGACTTTGAATCCTGATATCTTCCGAAATAAGAATGATTCGACAATTTTACTAACACCGGCGTATTCCTCAGAGTTGGCGCCGGAAAATGGCGCCGCCCGTGTTTGGCATTTAACAGTACAGGCCGGGTTTTTCGTGGCGCCGTACATCGGGAAGTTTACGATTTTGGAAAGCTTTAGGTTGCTGGTATGAAAGTCCAAATTCTGTGAAATACGCCGGTGTAAGACAGATGGTAAAAGCGAGCAACTACAGCCCTATTTGTTGGGCTAACTGCAGACCAAATTGCCCCCGATTTTATTGCGCATGCCCAAATGATCAAGGAGACAGGTGAATTGTCCAAGTGCCACTGGGCGAACAAGAGACTCGCCCTGATCAGGGAACCCCCCCCCAGGTTTTTTTTTTTTTGATCTTGTAAACTTTCAAGTTGTCAGTCCCCCCAAAACCAAAGGCAACGCTCTCTTTATTACGCCGCGGGGGAATTTCAAATTGCAAAGTGTGAGAAAATGTGACTTTCTTACTGATAAACCAGCTATGCAAATTTGAATTGTGTCAAAACCCCTAAAGTTTTTCCCCCATAATTTCCCTCAAAACGCAAAGCCCTGCCCTCTGTTCACAACATCAACCCATAAGTCCACCA